TGCCTTCCTTCCGGTTACCATGTCACCCCGCTGTGCGAACTCTCTCCATCTGGAACTGTGACCTAAATAAACCCTGTCTCCCTTTCATTGTTTTTGTCAGGGTGTCCTATCACAGCAACAGAAATTATCTAAGACAGACCCCATCCTGAGATTAACCATCACTGCATCACCTACTGTTTTGTTTTCTGTTCTGTGTGTTTTTTCTGTGTGTCTACACTTGTCCTGCTCTTATACCTATTAGTATCACATAAGTACATGGTGACCACTTTGGTAAAACGCATTGTACTCTTCTCAAAAGGAGTAGGATGTAATTATTTGGGGTATTGCACATGTCCGTTTTACTTAAGTGAGAAAATGTGCAGATCAGGGTTCATACTGTGGGGTAGCTTGCAGGCCATTTCAAAGGATGAAAAAAAATCCTAGCATTAATGCAAATGAAGACCTAAGAAAGTCATGTAACTTTCAGAAAGGGGATATAAAATGTTTTCTATTGTCTTAGTTAGGGTTTCTTTTGCTATGAAGAGACACCATGACCTTGGCAACTCTTATAAAAGAAAACATTTAATTGGGGCTGGTTTACAATTTCAGAGGTTTTAGTCTATTATCATCATGGCGAGAAGCATGGCAGCGTGCAGGCAGACATGGTGCTGGAGAAGGAGCTAAGAGTTCTACATCTTGACCCACAGGCAGCAGAAGGAGAACTGTGTGCTACATGGGCATAGCTTGAGCATGAGACCTCAATACCTGCCTCCACAGTGACATACTTCTCTAACAAGGCCACACCTCCCTATGGGCCAAGAGTTCAAAGGCATCAGCCTAAGGGGCCACCATACCTATAAACCCAGGATTTTGGACTACATTAGGAATTGGGAGCTATTAGTATTATCTCAAGTTCATTTCCTCTGATACGTTATGGTACAGCTATAAATGAATGCACTATTTTCACATTTGTTGATCTTTCTCTGGCAGGATGCTACTCCTGTATACTTTATTACTAAGGGTTTTAGAAACCAATTAAAGCACCCTCAGCCCTTGTAAGCAGTCTGTAAACCTAAGGCTGCTCTTGATTAGAAAAAAGTAAAATAAGCATCAGTGACTTTCACAAGAAAACATTACACACAGTGAGAACTTCCTAGCTTGTGCCATGAAGTCTCAGGGATGTTAAAAGTACCTTATTGCTAACTCTTGAGGTCTGCACTACAAAAATATGAGTTGAAACAGCTAGACTTAATTCCCTTTCTAAAAGATTTTTTTTAATTAGAGTTAAGTTTGACTTATAGAAAGTTGCAAAGGTGCTCCTGTGCTCGCATGAAATCACGTTCTCCCCGATGGTAACATCTTGCACAGCTGTTACTCGCTTGCCAGTAAGAAGTTAAAGTTGGTCTGTGAGCCGATTCCAGACTTCATTTAAATGTTACCAGTAAGAAGTTAAAGTTGGTCTGTGAGCCGATTCCAGACTTCATCTAGATGTTACCGCTCTTCTATTGCTGTTCCGTTTGGTTCCAGGATTCCACCCAGCATATCGTGTTGCTGCTCGTCATCAGTTCTTCTTAGTCTCCTGTGGCTTGTGATGGTTTCTCAGCCCCTGCTTCATCTCCCAGCATCCATCTCTTGGTTAAGGCGGTGTGTGCCCTGTTCCATGGGAGCCAGTTGTTAAGTCCCGGTTTTCTTTTCCTTCCTAACTCTCCCCAGTCATTTACCCTTTTATGCCTCTGTCTTGTGCGGCCCATATGAGTCATCAGGGGTTCTTTCTCAGCTTCTATTTCCCACAAAGCAGTTTTTTAAACTTTGTGCTTTATTTATTATTATTGTGTATATTTGCAAGTGTGTACATGCAAGTACATATGTACCATACAGCATGTGTGGAGAACAGAGAACAACTTTGTGGAGTCCATTCTCTTCTTCATTCTCTTCTTCCACCGTGTGGGAATCGAACTCAGGTTGTCAGGCTTAGCAGCAGGCACTTCTATCCGCTTAGTTATCTAGATGTCACAGCAGAGTTGTTTTTACTTGTCACAGGGCTTGGTCCTTCGTACTTGCTACATTTTCTGCCCACATAGATCTTTAAATTATAACCAAAAGGTGAGTTCACGTTCAGATTTTAAAGGTTAAGACCAGCCAGCCTTAAACTTAACAAATGAAAAAGTGCTCATGAATCTAATACAAAGAACATAGCAAAACTAAAAGGATGAGATGTTAAAGCAAACCATCTGCTGTTGAAACAGAAATGTATCTCGGTTATTAGGCATCTGCCACAGTGACAAGTTAATCAAAGAAAGGTTTATTTTATATCCTGATTTCAAAGAAATGGTTGCTTCGCTCTTATCTGGGCCTGTGGGTGAAACAGTATGTGATGGCAGAGGGAAGCTGCTCACCTCATGGCAGCCATGAAGGGAAGGGGGCATGTGCATGCTAGGACAGGGGACAGAACATAGTTTGAGAGACATGCTCCTAGTGACCTCCTGCCTCCGAACAGCCCTTCCATCTGTGAACTCATCAGTGAATAGTTCCCTCATAATCTCCTCTCTGTAGCCCACTACATTAGCACATAAGTGTTTTGGGGGCACTTCATAGCCAAACCATAGTGACACCTGATCACACTGTCTAGTGTACCAGTTAAGATTATTGTTCATGAGCTGGAGAGATGGCTGAGCAGTTAAGATCACTGACTGCTCTTCCAGAGAACCTGGGCTCAATTCCCAGTGCCCACTTGACGGCTCACAACTGTCTGTAACTTCAGTTCCAGGGGACGTGACACCCTTATATAGACATGCATGCAGGCAAAATACCAATGCATATGAAATAAAAATAAATCTAAAAAAGATTATTGTTCACATGTCACCTAAAGGCTTGCATTAGGCACACAACTATTTGGAATCTTCAGAGCAGAGCTGTGGAATGTTAAACACTAACATTTCAAGGATAGGTGAGGTTGAGGCTGCCGCTATATGTGACTGGCGATCTGAGTGATACTGGACATCTACAGTGATGCAAGTATTGGGAGCCAGCTGGACCAGGGAAGTGTTAGTTTGGGTGTTTTTAGCCACCTGTGCCTTTATTTCTTTTTTAGATGATTAGTGTACACTTGAAAACTCTCTGTTACTAACCAGCCATATAGACCATAGCCATAATAGGATAGTATATTTTGGGGACAAATTTTCATAGTATTCAGAAAGCAGTATTTGAAAATTTAATTAAAGAATCAGAGTTGCTAGTAAACACTCAAGAAAGCAAAGAAGACTTCTGTTGGGTTAATGATTGCAACACAGATTACACCCTTTCCTGACCGGTGCTCAGCTTCAGACTCTCCTCACATGGTGACAAACCAGTATCACTTTAAAAACTGGCAGCTCGGAAGGCAGACTGTGACTCCAAACAGGACAGAGTGATCAGTTAATTGGCACAGTGTGGGTGTTGTTGCTGTTTAATGCTGTTTCCATTTTAATGGCAATAATTTGGTCATTTAACAACCAACTTCCCATCTATCCTCCTTTACAGCCAAGGATGAATTATGGAAAGTGTGGGCTTTACTTTTCTTACTATTACAGCTAATGAGTTGTGCAGAAATTATAGGTTATAGCTAGGTTCATTATGAACTATGGTTATAACTGTTTTGTTTCAGCCATGGCTGCAGTTTGTGGAAAGATGAATGCTGCTTTTCTGAAAATTGCTATCTAAACAAAGTATGTAATGCAAAGTTTTGTTCTAGCCTGAAGCCATCCCAAGTGCATCCCATGCAGATAGGACATTTACCTGTGGTTTCCAGACAGCTGGCTTCTGTGGATTCAGTCATACTTTCAGTGGCTGATGTGAATTCTTGGATGTCCAAAATGAGATATAGCCACACAGTGGTTGGATTAGTGGTGTGTGTGTGTGTGTGTGTGTGTGTGTGTGTGTGTGTGTGTGCAAGCATGTTTGTGATTGTACTTGCCCAGGTCTGAACACGCAGAGGCAGAAGTTGATACTCGTGGTCCTTTATTGCACTCTACCTTATTTTTTTTTCTGAAACAGAGCCTCTCACTGAACCTAGAGCTCACCCTCTGAGCTAGACATGTGCTACCGTATTGTTGTATAAGGGATTCTTTCTAGAAGACACTACACATATGTCTTTAGTCACTGCAGAGTAGACAGCAGTGTCTAACTTGGTGAGTCAGTGGGGGCTTGTGAGGGTCACTAGCGGCAGTTATAAGGGTTACTTACAAGGGGCAGGGACAACTCAAAAGCAAGTGTGTCACTCCAGCAAATGTGGAGGCTTGAGAAGCTGCAGCCCTGGAGCCCTCCACACAGCATGTAAGCAACTCCACAGGCCAGGCCTCTCCCTCTGCAGCTGCTGTTTAGTCTCTTCCTTGGGAGTCCCTGCTTTCTGTAAGGCTGGGCCTTCTAGAACTTCCAAGTTTTTAGTTCCCAGATGTGTGACATTTTCTTTATCTCTTGAATCTTGTGAACCTTCCCTACCCTCCTAGAGGGAACATGTCAATTCAGAGGACACCACTATGCAGTGTCCTCCCTGAATCCGGCTTTTTTATGTGGGCGCTGGGGATCTGAACTCAGGTACTCATGGTTGTACAGCAAATACTTTACCCGCCGAACCATCTTCCCAGCCTCTGAATTAGTTTTGTTGTTATTGTTTTGCTTTGTTTTTGTTTTTTGAGACAAGGTCTCACTTTGTAACCAGGAACTCACTGTGTAGTCCAGGCTAACCTTGAATTCATGGCAGACCTCCTGCCTCAGTTTCCTAAGTGCTGGAATTACAGGTGTGAGCCGGAATTAGTATTATTTTTTAAAAAGTATAGCCTAATAGATCATAGAAAAGGTTCTTTCTTCCCACTTGTATTGGTTTTCTTTGGTATTACTCTGCCTGTTTGATTCCTTCCCCCCTTCTTTAAAACAATTTGCGCCCCCATCTCTACTACCAAGCCTACTGCCCCCCCCACACAGGAAGTGGGGCCGTCTTTCTCGTGTTGGATGACCATTCAGGTGCCCTTTCCTCTCTCACACAGTGATCTGGAGCCTGAGTGGCGGGACAGTGTACAGAGGAATGGAGAGCTGTTCTACCTGGAACTGAGTGAGGATGAGGAGGAGTGCCTCCTTCCGGAGACCCAGACTGTGAACCATGTCAGGTTCAGTGAGAAGGAGGTCATCATTGAAGAAGATGGCACCAGAGAAAGAAAGAAGTATGAACCCAAGCTCAAGCGCTTCACCAAGATCCTGAAAAGCAAAAAGCTTTTACCTAAGCGCCACCACAAAAAGAGCAGCAGCGACAATGGGCCGGTGTCCATCCTGAAGCATCAGTCTAACCAGAAGACGGGGGTTACTGTGCAGCAGCGGTACAAGGATGTGACTGTCTACATTAATCCCAAAAAGCTGACGGTCATCAAAGCCAGGGAGCAGCTCAAACTCCTGGAAGTGCTGGTGGGAATCATCCATCAGACCAAGTGGAGCTGGAGAAGGAGCGGGAAGCAGGCCGACGGGGAGAGGCTCGTGGTGCACGGCCTGTCACCAGGAGGCTCTGCCATGAAGAGCGGTCAGGTCCTGGTTGGTAAGTGCTGCAGCAGCTCCAGTCCTTGTTGGAAGACATACACGGTTAAGGGCGGTGCCCTGTGAGCCATGGCGTAGCAGACAGAGTTTACAGTCGCCAGTAAAGTCGGTACAGATGGTCATGAAAGAAGTGCCTCCATGTAATGGAGATGTACACAGCTAGTTCAGACGGGGCAGCACAGCTCATTTTCAAGTTTTGAATATTATGATTTTATCTTGCTTATGGTTGTTGACAAGGAGAAGAAAGTAAGTTGATTATACAGTGATCATTTAGGCTGGAGCAGCTGTGTCCAATAACATGATGCAAAATATATAATTTATGAATAAAAATACTTTTAAATTGTATGTTTGCACTTGAGGACACCAAGTTCTTGGAGTGGCTGTAGACTGTTTCAGTTGACCTTCTTAACAGCAGTGGTATCGTACATAAGTAAGTTCCTTTATAAGGGCACTTCTCTAAAATAGCCCAGTTCTGAGAGGAAAAATACAAGTTATTTTGAATATATTAAGATGTCTATTTTGCATTGCTGATTTTAAGTCATGTAATATGATGTGTGAGTTAATTAGCAACCTTATTCTACTTTATAATGATAGACTACTCAAATGTGACAATCTATTCTTCCTTACAGTTATTTATTTGTGCCTGGGCACTTTTACCTGACATGTGGAGGTCAGAGGACAGCTTGTGGGAGTGGGTCTCTCCTGCTGTCATACGGGTTCTGGGCTTGGACCTCACTAGACTTGTTGGCAAGTGCGTTTACTCATTGAACATCTCACTGGCTCTGAAAGCACATTGTCAACAAAACTTCAAACTTGTAACTATCTTAAAATGTGCCAGTTTTTTTTCATTTGACCCAGCTTAACACAGGAACTTCAGGAAGATTTTAAATGTGTCTGACGCGAAGTGTAAATTTCATTGTTTGCTCACTGAATCAGAACATGTCTGACTGCCTGTTGAGTGCCAAGCATGCAGAGACTACAATGATGATCTGACTGCCTGTGTAAAGAAGCAGAAGTACATCAGAAGTGGGCAGACAGTGAGTGTCAGAGTGTGACATGACAGAGCATCACAAAGCAAATTCTAAGGATGTCTGTCAGCACATGGATTCCAAAATGCATTTCCATGTTATCTTACAACGAGATGTGGTTCAGCCAAAGCAGCAGCTGTGACTCTGTGAGAGACCCTGTCTCGGGGAAAAGAATGATAGAGGAAGACATCAGCTTGAGTGGCCTCTGCATATACAGGGGAACAAACTCCCACACACTCACGCATGTAACACACACACACACACACACACACTTCTCATGGAGAAGAGGCCATGCAAGAAAGGTAGAAAGTTGAGTTTGGGGGAAAGGATTGACCTGCCAGTGTTTGTTTATCTGCACTGGCATTCATTCTGGCTGATGGGGCTCCAGGAGCTTTTAATGGATGAAAGCGTCCTTGCTGGAGGAAGCCAGCAAAGTTACCACTGACTTAGGAAGTGCCTGGCAGTCAGTAAAGACACTCAGGCAACAATAGTGCCATTCCGTCATCATTGCTGTTCTGCCAGACGTGTGGTCTGGATGCAAGTGCATCATGAATAGCTTTCACATACTCAAGGGAGAGCTGAGGATGGGAACATTTAATTAGGAATGTTTGTCTGGTATATATGGATCCGAGGAGCTTCAGAAAGAACAGCCCCATGCAGAGACTGTGTATGAACATCAAGGGCTGCACCCTTGAATAAAATAAGCTGCTGTTCATCATAATTCAAGACCCTCAGATGTGCTTGTGATCAGGAAAGGTCAGGGACAACTGCCAAGCTTTTGTCCACAGTCTTTCATGTAGCATACTTCTTTACATGCCGGATAGTCTTCTCAACTTTTGGGGGCATTTTATTATTGAGTCTTTACTTATTTTTCCATCTACTATTTTAAAGTGTCAACAGTGGTTTTTTTTTTTTTTAATATACAGTATTGGGTTGTTTTGTGTGTCTGTGTTTTTTATAGTTATGTATCCCTGACACACACTTATCCATTATCTCTAATACTGGAGGTATAAATTATATAATGCCTCTTAAAATATCTCAATTCATTTTATGTGCTTATTTTTCAGATTATACTCCAAGGGGATGCACTGTTACTAAGCTAGCTTTGCATGCAAACATTGGGTATGCACGTAAACACATTGAGTCTTCCTTACCTATGTATCTAGTGCTGGCCATGAACTCATGATTGTCCTGCCTCTAAATCCCCAAAGCTAGTCATGTACCATAAAACCTGGCTCAATTTTTTTCTTTAACAAATAAAAAGGAATCTTTTTCCTATGTCTGCATTTGATGACATGAGGTTTCTCAAGATCTCAGTTCCATCAGTAACTGAGATTGTGGGTCTCAGTGTTTCAGATGACCACAGTTAGGACACTGTGCACAGTTACAGACTATGGCAGTGTGCATAAGCACATCTTGCTTTCTGGCCTCTCTTTGTGAGTGTGGCTTGTGATAAGCCAGTGATGTTTCTCTTGTGTCCTTTTACAACAACAGAGCCCATCCTGCATTTATTTCTTTGCTTAGATCTCAGAGACTTGCTGTCCTTTGAAGGTGATGCCACTCTTTGCTGATCATCTACATTTCTGTTTCTAAGTATCTTCTTAAAATTTGACAATTATTTGAAAGCAGTAGCCAGATGGCATCTTCAGACCAGAACAGACAGAATTTACTCTCTTACCTACATCATGGAAGCTTCCTTGGCGGGACTTTTTTCTTCAATATTATTCATTTTTTATCATAACTGGATTTTTCCCCCCAGGGACTAAACATGAGTCTTTGTGCCATGGCTTCTTGGAGGGGGTGGAGCAGGAGGAATAGGTGGCCCTGGTGCCAGGCCAGCTGTGCTCCACGGGCATGCAGGTGATGGAGAACTCATAATTAGCTTGATTTCACCTGGCTTGAAAGTCTTGCTATCATACATGCCACCATCTAGCCTACCATTTCGGATGATCATGTTTCTCAGGTGGATCTTCACCACCTGGGGCTTCTCCATGGGTGACACCTCCTTCATGGCCTTTCTCAGGCGCTTGATTAGGGAGTCCTTCTCCCATGCTACCTCGGGTGGGAGCTGCACAGCTCCTCAGCTGCTCATAGGACGTATCCAGAGCTGGTTCAGGCCCATGTGGTAGGTGAAACTGCAGACGGCCTGTTTCCTCTGCTGTTCCGCTTCCACCATCTTGCTGGCCTCCAGGAGTTGGGGGCAGGTGGAAGCATTCATTATCTAAATATCTATAAATAATACTTACCTACTCATTGTTTCTGACCATTTTTTGAGATAAGATTTTATTATGTAGTCCACAGGTTGATCTCAAGCTTTTTCTTCTCCAGTCTCAATCTCCCACGTGTTGACATTACAAATATACACCACCATGCTCATTTCATACATTAATTTTCCAGATTACCACCCCCCCAAAACTATTTCTGATAAAGAATGAAGATTTTAATTCCAAGCTATTTTATATAGTTTCTTAAGTCCTCAACTATAGATTTGTTTTCTATAGCATATGTGGCTTACCTTTTGCTGTAAATTTTTTGAAAATGGGTGCTCATTTTTCAGAAATGTTTTTGAGGTATGATATCCATTCATAGGTGTACACTGATCATTTTGATGTGTGTCTTGTCCTCTTTAACTGCCTCTTTGCATCCAAAGTCAACATTTTCAGTACCTAGATGGCTCTTCTGCATGCCTAAGGCCGGCTAACATCCCTTCTTAAGGCAGCCTGGAGCCTTCTGTAAACACAATCAATTTATCTAGTTCTCCAACTTTATATGAATGAGAGAGAGAGAGAGAGAGAGAGAGAGAGAGAGAGAGAGAGAGAGAGAGAGAGAGAGAGAGAGAGAGATCGCGTGTGCATGCTTATGCATGTGTATATATATGTATATATATATATATTTGTGTCTCATTCTATGTATTCTCTGTGTCTTTTCTGTGACTCAGACTACATCTCTGAGAAGTATTCCTGTTGGGTTGTGGAGTTGGCTTAGTGACTAAAGGTCTTGCTACTTGAAATCCTATGTTCAGATCCTCTGCACCCATGTAAAGGCAGATGCAGCAGTATACATGGGTGATCTTAGTGCTCCTGTGTAAGGAAAGAGGTTGAGACAGGAATCCCTGGGAACTCATGGCCGGCTAGTCTGGTGTATGCAGCAGTGAACAAGAGACCCTGTCTCAAGCAAAGCAGAAGGCTAAGACCAACATCCGGTGTTGTCCTGTGACCTTCATGTGTACACTGTGGCTTGCATGTAGCCCCCCACCCAAAACATCCCCACACAAATGAGGTCTTGCTTTTAAGAGAAAGAAAGGGAAGTTCCATGTGGCTGCCATGTCCAATTCCTTTGTGTTGTTTGTTACGCTTAGTTCTGGTGTTTTCTTGAGATAGGTTCTTACTGTGTAGCCCAAGCTAACCTAGAATTCACTCTCTAGTACAGGCTGCTCTCAAACCTACAAACCTCCTGCCGCAGCCCTCAAGTGCTGCGGTCACAGGCATCTCTCCCATGCTTGACTAATGTTCCACTTTATATTTTTTTCATTCCATTGTTGTTGAACCTTTTCAACTAAAATATTTGAAATGTTTTTGTAAAAGATGGGCTTGGCTTTTGTGAACACCTAATATGTTGTTCTCTATGAATTCTCATTTTCCTTTTGGAATAGGTTTTTATTTCTCCATTTGTACTTCTTGTGACAACCAGACTTCCTTATGGACAGTGTCTCTTGTCCTGTTTTGTCCCCCACAATGTTTCCCTTCTCACGCGTTCCTGCTGTCAGAAAGAGGCTAGAACACAGAGTCTGCTGGAAGGACAGGATTTTAGTGTCTCCTTCTGCAGAACTGGGACGGAGGTGTTAACAGCTGCTGCTCAGGAGGAAACTGCTCACCACTGACAGACTGTTCTCATCCCCACTCAGACTCTGACCTACTGTGTTGGTTGCTTCTGTAGATGGAGACAGCACTAAAGGATTTATTTCTTATTGATGAAAAAAGAGGAAGAGAATTTGTTTATGCTATTAAAATATAATTTGACATTAGCATCATTCTGAAACAGTGTATAATGTAACCCATTCAATTCATTTCTGGACATATATCTTAAAAACCATTCATAACATAGGCAAATTAGAGCTGGCAGGTCACAGACTCACCACCTGCATTTATACAGCTTGTCTAAAAGGCTTAAATAATTCATAGCACAGTGTGTGGAACCCAACTGTGGGTGTCTGTAAATAAAATGTTATTGCACACAGTCTCACCTATGTATCTGTTGTCTGTGGCTGAGTTTGAGATGGATCTAGTAGGAGAGTTGAACCGTTGAATGTAGACCATTCATCCACCAAAGCATGACATGTTTTCTGTGTGATCCTTAATTGAAGAAGTTTGTTAATTGTCGATCAAAATTGAAAAAAAAAAGGAGCTGGATACATGGGGACCTGAGTTCAAACATCCAGTTTCCACATTGAAAAAATATTGAGGCATTTCTCCCATGTGCTCTTGTAACCCCCTTGGGATGGGAGGCAGAAGGATCTTTGGGGCTTGCTGGCTGCCAGGCCTGGCTCCAAGTTCAGTAAGAGATTGTCACAAGGGAATATGGCAGAGAGTGACAGCAGGACATCTGATTTCCCCCTCTGTCCTTTTGTTCACGTGGTACGCAGACCCATAATCATCTGTGCATATATCACACACACAAGTGGGGGAAGAAAAGCTGTGGGCGCAAAAATGTTTATTGAGACACTTACAAATTAGTGTTTTAAAAATTTAAAGCATAAAAATGTCAAACAAGCATGTGGATATTTATATTATAAGTTACATCATTTGACCAATAAAAATATAATTCTATAAACTGTGTACCAGCATAAAAATTTTTGCTTCTTGAGAGGCTTAAAGGAATAAAAACATTTCATTCTTCATTTTAGTGAACATAGTAAAGATGACTTATTCCTCAACATTAGTCATAGCTGTAGCTATAAGGCCAGCAGCAGTTTCTCAACTGTTCTCCTGAGGAGTAAAGTTGTGTACTAGTAGACCACAGATTTTATGAGGTCATCTATTCAGCCCACTGCAGTATAGAGTGTTTGTCTCTGTCACACTGTTCAGTAAGCAGACTTGACCTGCGTTCAAGAGAGAGACATTTTCTCTCACATTCAAGCTGTTTGCTGTAGCAATGCTTTTGAAAACATGACAGAATGCAGACCCAGTTCCTTGGTTTGTTTGTTTGTTTGTTTGCTTGCTTGCTTTTTACCCACTGGCATGCTTACTACCCCTCCTCAAAGAGTATTAAGCCCTAGTCATCACCCTCCTTGTCTTATAGGCTCACACAATGTCCCCATGTTCAGCCTTTGACTGTCAGCTAAAGCCTTGGCAGTGTATTGTTAGCATAGTGCAAGCTTCCACCAACCCCCAAGTTCAGACTCTCTCCAGAAAGCATCTGATACTTCCGGAGCTCTCCACCGCCCACCCCGGTGTGCAAGCCCACCTACCTGGGTCCCTCACCAGTAAATGTAGTGACTGTGCTGGTTTGAAACTTTTATTCTGTCTCTTGGAACCACTTCCACAGCAGAACATGTTTGGGGCACCCTGAATCCGTGTGTTCCTGGGCCACGATCACTCATTAAACAAAGAATGAATTGATTTTTTACTCTCTTTGGGCAAGAGTTGTGTTGTGTATCAATAAGTCGAAATTTTAATGGTGGTTTTGAATTTGAAATTCGATAAATACAAGCATTTGAGGAACAGTCATGGGAAAGAAGACGGAATTTGACATGTCGATATTGTCCGAACAAAGGCCTGTTACGCAGACACCAGTCCGTGGTGGCAGCAAATAGCATAGTGCATTGGGATGTACCACATGGCTTTAATTAAAATTTAAGATGGATTTTTTTTAACTCTGGGTCTGAGTGGTTAGATTCAATTTTGTTAAGTGCAATACTTGGTTTATGTTAAAAATTTTCCATTTGTCCTTTGGGTTCACATAACTCTTAGTTACACCAAGACCAGGAATATCCATATCCTTAAGTATTCGTGGTTTTCAGAGAGCTATGGTGCAGTGTTGGGAGGCATAATGGATGAGTTGGGTAATTGGCTGTGTCCACTAATATTTGGCATAACCTTGGATAAGTCCCTAAATGTACCACATTTTCCATTCTACCCTTGAGGAAGTCTGGATAGCTGTTTCTCATGTCGCAATTCTAGAACTTTTTGGTTTGGGCTATTCACACAGTTGTCCTTTGTTTTTCTGTTTTTAGGCGATGTCCTTGTTGCCGTGAATGATGTAGATGTGACCTCTGAAAACATAGAGAGAGTTCTGTCTTGCATCCCTGGACCAATGCAGGTGTGGCCATCCCTTTTCCATATCATACACTGTTGCTAAAGTACATACATCCGGCGCTGTTTTAGTTTTAAGATCATGAGGTTATCCTCCTGTGTAACGAATGATGTTTGAGCTCCAAGGGCAGTTTCACCTCTTCCTCACATGTAGCTTTGGAACACTGTTCTAAAAGGAGAGTGAGATCTGCAAACTAAATATCCTAAGTCAATAAAACAGTAGCAGTAATGAAAGTAAACATGATTGCCAGCTTACCCTTAGAGTGCCCATGTTTGCCAATGACAGCATAGCTCTGAGAAGAGTCCTTTAAAAGCTGTGGCCAGATGTGGGGATACACACCTTTAATCCCAGCACTCGGGAGGCAGAGGCAGGTGTGTAATCATAGTGAGTTCCAGGACAGCCAGGACTATGTAGAGATACCCTGTTTCAAAATAATAATAATAATAATAAGTAAATAAATAAGCTATGGACTTTATTTTCCTTGATTTAAAACATTTCATATTATAGAAGTTTTTGTTTAATTTTTGGAGTTTTGAATCTCCCTATGTAGCTGTAGCTGTCCTGGAACTCACAGAGATCTGCCTGCCTCTGCCTCTCAAGTACTGAGATTAAGTATGTGTGCCACAAGCCCAGCTGGAAGGTTTTTTTGTTTCTTAACATGGCGTTGGTTATTTTAAGCCTAGTGATGGTGTTTTCTCTGAGGCCGTGCACTGGTTTATGGAGGCTGGTAGAGAGCGCAGAGCTCTGTGGCCCTCAGCCGGTGGCTTGCACTGCCTCCCCCCCCCCCCCCCCCCTATCCCTATGACACTGCGCCTGAGAAAAGCAACTTTGAAGGTGGAAAGGATTGTTTTGGTTCATGGTTCCAGAGGTTTCGGTTGGCTGCTGTGAGGAAGGCAGAGCCTTGTTGTAAGGTGTAAATACAGGAACAAAGTTTCTCACTTCCTGACAGCCAGGAAGCAAGTAAAGAGACAGGAAGGCACTAGGTCCACATGTCCTCACCAAGAGCATTCCTCCAGTGACTTCAACTCTCCCTTATTCTTAAAGGCTCCACTCCCACCTAATAGTGTCCAATGCTGGCAGCGAAGTCTTTAACCTGTGGGTATCAAAGAGGCATTGAAGATCCAAAAATAACATTATATCCTGGATTTACAGGTGTGTGCCCATATTACAATGAAAATGTATTTAGTCTGTCTCTAAGAATTTCCAAAGCTTTACCAGGTCCTCCCCGACTCCTCAAGACAGTGAAAACTCAGCTGTGAAGCCCCATCAAAACGAGAATAACCTGCTTGCTTCCCCAGTTATGTCTAATGAGGAGAGGATCAGACCTAAGCAAGACTAAAGCTGAGTCGCCTGGCCTGCCACCTGGGCTGTACAGTGGCACGCTGTGTGCTCCAGAGGCCTTGGCAGTCCTATCTCTGCGGCCATGCTGGCTGCAGCCCATGTGGCAGCTGTCTTAGGCTGGCTCTGCTTGCAGCCTGCAGGCCCCTTTTGCCAGTGCTCCATGTTCCTGGCGTCTCTGACTTTCTAGGTTTTCCATTTCGGCTTCAGTTTCACTCTCGTAGCTTTGTGTGTGGCTGTCAGGGGCTGCCTACAGAGACTATGGACTTGCTGCACACTGTATGGCCTACGCTTTCCTTTGAAATTTTGGTTGAAGCCTCCAGAGCCCTACAACTCTCACATTCTGCATGCCTGCAAAACTGGCATCACGTGGTCTGCCACTTGTCAAAATCTCCTGTGCCCTGACTGCAGTGGTTCCTGAGTGCCTTACCAGTTGAGCAAGATAAAGAGTCCTAGAGGAACTACCCTAAACATATCTGTGCAATCTAGGTTTTCAGAGGTGTCCTCTTTAAAAGAATTGTATAATCCCTACACTGTGAATATTCGTCAGCATGTTTGGTTTAATAAACTGACTGGCCAATGTTGAGCAGAATAAGGTTAGTCAGGAGAGCCAAACTGAGAGTGATGGGCAGGAGAAGGGCTCATTGTAAGGAGTCGCCAGCCAGATGCAGAAGGAGCAGGAGATGACTGTGCTGTGTTAATAAAGTTATCACCACATGGCAGAGCGTAACTAAGCAATGTGGGTTACCTTAAAATGTAAGAGCTAGTTAGTAATAAGCCTGAGCTATTGGGCGAGAATTTATAAATAATATTAAGCCTCAGTATGTTTCTTTGCGGGCGGCTGCAGGATCTTAGTGCTCCTGTGTAAGGAAAGAGGTTGAGACAGGAATCCCTGGGAACTCATGGCCGGCTAGTCTGGTGTATGCAGCAGTGAACAAGAGACCCTGTCTCAAGCAGGTCTTGTGCAGGTAGCCACAGCTTCTGTGAGTTCATGAGGGCAGTTTCATGTCCAGGAGACACTTGCTTGCAGTGTCTTGCTTGTCTCCTACAGGCTTGTTGCCACCTCTTCTACAGTGTTCCCTGAGTGCAGCACCTCCAGTTCATCATACAGATTCTCTACATGTTAGGTCCTAACCACAAGACCTGCAAGAGTCCAGTGGTTAGTGGTCCTATTTTATAATAAAGAAAAGGAATCTGGAGCACCCATGGGGCTGAGGCAGGAGGATTGTGACCCAGACTAGACTGGATGATGAGATCCTGAGAAAGAGAGAATTTAGGAAGTGCTTAGTGATTTCCCCAGAGTTGCAGAATCAGTTACTCAAAGTGCTAAACTTCAGACTATCCCAAAGCATATTCCTTCCCTTTCCTTCCAACCTGTGTGCATCTGGTGTGTTGGTGGGTCAGAATGGACTGTGATAGACCTGTCCAAGGTGTGGAATGTGCAAAACAGTTCCTCCAGCAACAAGAGAGGAAGAGAGGGTGCAGGTCTTTAAGTAATTCCACAGGAGACTTTAGTCCTAGACATACGGAGCAGTGACATCTTAAACATGCACTCACAGTTTATCGAGGTCTGCAGATTCTCATTCTCCATCAGACAGTGGCCTCTGAGACAGTGTAATAGGAAGAAAGACACTAGGAGAACAGATTGTCTACCATGTAACACCTCGAAGAGATTCCAGATCTACTTTCCTCAACCACAATCAGAGGGGATGGAGCTAAAAGGAGTCTTCAAATCCAGCTCCTGCTCTGCTGGTGTGTGCTGATGTGGAATGCAGAGACAAAACCCATTTTAACATTTCAAAACGAGTTTTGTGGGTTTTGTTTTGTTTGTTTTCTAGATGCTTCAAAAGTGTTATTAGCATGAGGGTGCTGGGTTGTAGAATAATGGTAGAGTGTATGGTTAGCATCTGCAAGGCCCTGGCTTACATAGTCCAGCACACACACACACACACACACACACACACACACACACACACACACACACACCAAGAAAAAGAGGCTAGAGAACTCCTGTACATTAAGACAGACTGAACAGTGTGTGACTGTGTCTTAGTTAGGGTTCTATTGCTGTGCAGAGACACCATGATCACAATTCTCATAAAGGAAAACATTTAATAGGGTGGCTGCTTACAGTTTCAGAGATTTAGGCCATTTATCCTCATGGCAGCATGCAGGCAGACATGGTGCAGGAGCTGAGAGTCCCACATCTTGATTGGCAGCCAAGAGGAAGTTAACTGAGATAGTTGGTGTGGCTTGAGCATATATGAGTCCTGAAGCCTGCCTCCACAGTGATGCACTTCCTTCAGCAAGGCTACAACTACTCCAGCAATGCTGCATCTCCTAGTAGTGCCACTCCCTATGAGCTTATGGGGGCCGTTTACATTCACATGATCACAGACTACATCAGATGCAGCAGGCACTCCTTGACTGCTTCTGGATTGCAGAAGGAGCAGCTGTATTGGATGATGGGAGAAATCAGCTTGGAATTTATTTCATAGTAGTATATGCTGAGTATCCCTTACCCAAAATGCTTGCAACCAGAAGTGAGTAGGTGAGTGCTGGGCAGGAAAGAAAGGGAAGAAGGGAGAGGAGAGGAAAGAGAAGGAACAGAGAGAGAGAGAGAGAGACAGACAGAGATATTCAACTTAGGAGTATTGCATGGTTGAAACGCCTATGCAGAACAACCAGGAGCCCTAGATACTCAAAAGTCGGACAGTTTTAAGCACCACACTGATGCTCAGAAAGTCTGCAATTTTACAGTGTGTCAGATTTAGAGACCACGGAATTCCCCTGAGCTTCACCTTAAGCCACCCAGTGAGACTGCCCTAAGGAGAAGAGGCTGGAGGAGAGAGGATTTGCTGAGCCAATTAGACTAATTCCTTGAGCATTATTCATGAGGCCTTTTGAAAGCCCCTGCCACTTGCCAGCTGAAAGAGAAAGGATAAGGCCGCTGAGAGCCTTGGAGCTGTGAGAAAGGCTGTGCTGATTCACAGAGGCAAGGCAGGCCAGCCCTGCCATGGCACTGGGCCCTCACAGCCCCACAGTGTGCCCCTTTGAAGAGGGTTCCAGCTAAAGTGGGAAGGGGCGTTTGTTTGATAGAGGATACATATTTATTGCTTCTTATATAGCATTTGTTGAAGACAGACATGGGGAGAAGATAACCAAAGTTATCTTTGGAGGTGATGGGTTATAGAAATCACTTCCCTGGACCCAAGAGAACAAGACATCATTACTGAGCCCGGAAGGGATGAGGATAGGTTGGGCAAGTTGCACAAGAGAGGAGGCAGGAGACGTGGGATCGTGAACTTCATTGCATGTTAAAGCCTGTGGAAGAACAACAGGGAACTAAACGGTGTTTCAAACAAGACTCATTAGATATTGCTTAGTAAAAGTTTATCCTTATAACCATGGAGTGCCCTTAATACTATCAATCTCTTTAAAAAATAGTGTTTATCTCTCTATTTATGTCTTAACAGCTTATCTTGTCCCAGAATTTATATAGTTTCTTTTCATATAGGACTTCAGAAGTGTCTTTCTGAAATGTAATTATCTTCTTAGGATGGAACCAACTTTTCTTAAATCAAAATGGTGCTAAAAAAGTTCCTTAAAGAATTTTAATGAACAATTCCATGTGGTATGTTTTTGTTTGTGTTTGTGTAGTGGCAAGGTAAAAAGGTCCTTGCATCAGAAAATAGCTAATGGCACCGGGCGGTGGTGGCACACGCCTTTAATCCCAGCACTCGGGAGGCAGAGGCAGGCGGATCTCTGTGAGTTCGAGGCCAGGCTGGACCGATAGCCTCCAAAACAATACAGAGAAACCCTGTCTCATAAAACCAAAAAAATAAAAATAAAAAAATAGCTAATGGCATTTGCAAAATATAATATTAAGTTAGTTTTAAAGCGAACATGTCATTGTCCACAAGCATAGCAAAGTAGTATCAAATTTTAGGTCATTGCTGCTTCCCAAAGTGTAATTAATGAATTTTTCAGTTTATCAACTTATTTCCCTTTTGTCATTTTTTGGTGAGTCTTGCCCAATCTTTAAACATTCCCACCCACAAAGAACCTCACTGGAGAAGATGCCCTCCTCATATGAGCCATGGCCGTTTCTGAGGTCCTTTCTGTGGATCATCCTATACCCCCCTCCCCAGAAGAACCATCATCTTTCACACTAAATAATGCTTATTTGTATAGCCTGTTTGTGTCAGAACCTCACACCAAGTCTTATTTTTGTAACATTTATTTATTATACACACTTCTGGGGGGCGGGGTCAGAGGACAACTTGAAGGGGTTGATTCTCATATCTATCATATGTGTCTCAAGGATCAAACTCAGGTCATCAGGCGTGGAAGCAAGTGTCTATCCACAGAGCCATCTCACAGGCCCCAAATATTCATTTTCACATCTAAGATGATAATTCCTAAAACCTTATGCTCTCAGTTCTTACTTACTTTAATCATATGTTAATTTTCATCAGATTAAACAATAAAAAAACCTTGATCATTCTTACATAGGGTTGCTGTTATAAGAATCTTTGTTTATTTTGTTTTCTCTCTTCCTTTAGCAATACATTAATTTTCTACTCAGCCTCTTTGGATTCAGTCTCCAGATACTAAAGGGCCCATGTTAAATTTTTCTGTAGACACTGGACTGTCTCCTTTGAAATTTTTCCCTTCCTGCTCTCTATGTAATTTCCTGTTAGTCTTGGTCTACTTCATCTTAGTAACAACATGTGCATCTGGATGAATTTTAAACCCCTTTCTTTGCTGCTTGTAGATTAGCGTCTGTCACTGTAATAAACATCTGAAGTAGCCGACTTATAAAGAAAAGGTTAATTCTGCCTTGTAGTTTTAGAGGGCCTAGTCTGTAGTCAGGTCTGTTTGTTACTTATCTCATAGTTGGGATCAAATACCTAACATAATAGAACTTATAGGAGGGGAAGCGTATGTCAGCCCTTTTATTCAGTCTAGGACACCATCCTGTGGGATGGTGCTCCCCACATTCTGGGTGAGTGCTCCCCTCAGGAAACCCTGGAAACACCTTCACAGAAATGGCCCATTGTTTGTCTCCTGGTGATTAGAAATCTAGTCAAGGTGACAGTAAAAACTGGCCATAATCACATAGGTCCCTTATCTTGAGGCCTTTAGTGGGGGTGCCACATGGAACTTTTGGGGGACAAGTGAAGCAGCACTGTTCACCCCAAGACCAATAAATAAAAGAAAGCAAGAGGGGCCAGGTTCCCACAATCCCCCTAGGGCATGCCCCCCTCCGTGGAGAGCTTCCAGCCCCCCACTAACACTACACTGTGAGCCAGGCCTTTACTCTGGGAGCTTCTAGGGGACACTTCCCAAACAGTAGGAACTGGCTAATGCAGTGAGTCTCGTGACGATGTACAGTGACTATTCTATACACAAATGATATGGATTTCTGCGCTTCTGTGATACTTTTCGAAGTCAGTGACTGCATTTACATGAGTGAATTTTTATGTAGAGCATTGTATTTTTCAGTCAATAAACAGTTGTGTGTGTGTGTATGTGTGCGTGTGTGTGTGTGTGTGTGTCTGTGTGTGTGTGTGTGTCCACCACTGTGCAAGGAGCTAGATACAGATACAAGTGGACTCACTGTCCTCACCTTTAGCCCTTGCTCTGAGGTGCTGTCTCCATCATGTGCACTCCTGACTAACATGTCAGCACATGTCTTTCTTTGTTTAAAAACAAAACAAAACAAATGCACCTGCCCCACTTGGAGGAAAAAGCAACTCCCAATGTGTGAGATTGCCCTGGATCCCCAGTCTCTCCCTCTTAACTTTTGCTGTTGAAATAGCAGACATTTTGTTTTGTGTTTTCCAGGTGAAGCTGACATTTGAAAATGCATATGCTGTGAAAAAGGAAATGGCCCAACCCAAAAAGAAAAAGACACAGTCGAGCACGAATGATTTGGTGAAACTTCTGTGCGGGTCAGAGGCCGATGGCATCCAGCACAGCATCCTGGACACCCCACACATCACCATGTACCTCACGCTGCGGTTCCAGTCAGAGGTATCCAAAGAGGAGGTGAGTGTCTGTGCCCATATGCTGCAGAAGGAGGGGACCATCCATCCTTCCAGCATATTCAGACTTCAAGAAGAACAGGGAATGAGCTGTCTCTTATCGCTGTTCTGTATATATTACGTTATGCTGGTGTAGATATTTGTATCACCAGTGTTTTGAAACTGATAAGAGAACTTTTCAGCTCTTCTAAGGGATAGGGAGTGAGAACCCAAAAGCTTCTTTCTTGTCCTTTTCCAGTTTGCAATATGAGGCATGCATTTCCTCATGTTGTTTTCTGTTTAATAAAAGTTGAAATAGTAAATAGTATATCAATTGCATATGTACTACCTGGCATTTTTGTGTTCTAGAAAATACTTAGACATGCAGTGTTAATAATTCCAATTTCTTACACCTTGCTGGCTCCTTTAGAACAAATGAGACATTTAAGCATTTCTTTTTTAAGTCTCCCAAGTTTTGAGAGTACTGTCCTGAACCTTTCCAGCCCACATGTCATCGTGCCTGACTTTGCCTGGGAAAGTATGTGAATGCCTCGCAAATAAACACACTCCTGTCTGTGACCAGTTCTGTAGCAATGTCGTGATTATAAGAGGTTCTTTATTCTTACCACGCAGAGTGGAAGCTTCTGTGAGTGCAAGCTACTAATAAGGACTTTAAAAATACAGCTAATTAAAGTGGCTGGGCACTGCAGAGCTTGCCAATTCTTCAATACCAAGGCTTCTAAGACTCCTATGGAGACTTCCTTAAATGGCCTTTTTTTTTCCTACTATGTTACTTTACAATGAAATGTCATAGGGTCATTTCTTTCTCTGAGAGTTACATAATTGATACAGAACTTGTCTTCAAATTACAAGATTTACAATGCAAGGACCACAAGATGGAGACTTCTAAAAACCTAGTCAAAGACTTTAAAACAGCATTTGGTATTTTGGCAAAATAGAGTGGAAGTATTTCTTGGACAAGGTTTAAATTTATTAAGTCAACATCACTGAAGATTTTAACTCATATTTGACTTTAATTCATGTTTCTAGAGATAAATAATAAAATTATAACAGAACACTTTGTAACTTTTTACAATGAAAAGTACAATAAAATTTGAGTCATCATGCAATGTATTTGGCAGACATATCCCTTAGTATATTTTGAATAATATAGTAAGTATAAAAAGTAGGTTTCACAGTGTAGCATCATCATCATGTTTCTGATGATATAAAAATTGTGAATATATGAACACTGTGCCACGTAACTATTTCTCATATAGATGCTTAACAATTTTTAGAGACACAGCCAAGGACAAGCTAGGCCAGTATAATACTCCATGAGTTTGAACTTTATGTTGTAGCAATTATAGCTATTAGCGCAATTGAAAATTACTCTGAATTCTTCATGGTTTCTACCTAGAAGTTATCATTTTTTCTGCTTTTTATCTGCTGTGTGAGGAAAATAGATGTTGCCAAAGTGTCCATAGAAAGTGAGGTTTAAGCTGCCCAGTGTTCTCGGAGCGTCAGCACACTGCAGGCCCTAGAGATTCATTTCTGTACTTCGTTAAAGCTGTTTCCTAGAGACAGGGTCTCACTGAAAATAGAACGTATTAACCATCTTCTACACTGTCATGTAAGTTAGCATTTTATGCAACTTAAAATAAAATGTGCCCTTGCATATAGATTTAGACTGTTTACGTTTCAGATTGTATAATCTCGTGATACTTCTTCCTATTTGTACTTCTTCAGTTTTGTATTCTTATTTTGTAAATATGATTAAATAAACACTTAATAATATCACCAGAAACAATGATTATCTTTTAAGATTCACTATGAAAGAAATTAAAGACTACTAGGAGTAACTCATGGGATTAAAGTTTAAAACGCTATTTGAATCAATAACAATTTTGATTATATAGATTGGTCTTGTATAGATTGCGCAGTATAGTCTCTAAACTTACTTTCAAGTGTAGCATTTGAAATCCTGGTTGAGTGTGAGCATTCCAGGCATAGTTCTGTCCTTGGGGTTGAATGAAGCCCTGACTAACGCTGAAAGGATTGCTGTTCTATTCTTCATACAAAGTCTGAACTTTGAGGCCAGATGTTGGATGGACATCTGAGAACTCGTCATCTGTTCTTTCCATAACAGCAGGAAATTTTATACCATTATCCAGTGTCTGAAGCCTCTCAGAAACTCAAGAGTGTGAGGGGGATTTTTCTCACACTCTGTGACATGCTGGAAAGTGTGACTGGGACACAAGTTACCAGGTAACAATGTTTTGCTCTTTCTTCACGTTCTCATAGTTAGTTAGCTATGCTAATCCTGTTCCTGTCTACTGTGGGGAGGATAGCTGTGCATTTGTTTCAGCTGAACATTGATTTTATCATTTGGAGTGTATATTTTTAATTTATCTACAGGTCTAGGATTTGCCAGAATGATTTAATTACGTTAATTAAATGTTGCCTGCTGACCCATAGCCAATTCTTTATAACAATGTCGTCTTTGAGTTGGCAAGATGGCTCATGGGTAAAGGCACTTGCTGCCAAGCCTGTCAGCCTGAGTTCAATTCCTGATCAGATGGTGGCCTGAGAGAACAGACTCCTACACATTGCCCTCCAAACACCACACTCAAGCTGTGGTACACATGCATGTGTAGCGCACGCATGCGCACTCTCACAAACACACACGCATTATCTTTTAAACATGACATTTGATGGGGGGAAGTCCTATGTATATGTCAATAAAGCACTGTTGGTCCAATAGGGAACCAAGATAGGTGGGACTAGGAGTCCAGGAGATCTCTGGGAAGGAGAAACACAAGAGAGTCAAGAAGTAACGCCATGGGGTAGGAAGCCCGGAACTATTCTCCGGTAAGAGAAATACTTAGATTAACAATTATGGGGTAATTACTTAAGTCAGAGCTAGCCAGTAAGAAACAAGCAAGGCCAACAGCTTCATAGTTAATATATCCTCCTGTGTGTTTATTTGGGACTGATGCGGCTCTGGAACCAGGCTGACGGGAAGGCTTCTCTCAAGGAAAAAGCTTCTCTTTACAGACATTGTTATGTATCTTGACTTATGTTTTTGTTGTGATTGTCAACTCACTAAGCAATATACTAAATTTTTCACACAGTTAGAAAATAGTCTGATTTTACTGTAATAATTTTACAGTAATAATATTTTTATAGAAAAATATAGAATGTGCTTTAGGAGGGCTATTCAGAACTCAGAGTCATGTGTAGTTTATTTAGTAATGAAAGGGCAAAAGTCAAAACTGAGGTAGCACCCTGCAAATGGCCTTGGGTTCATCTCTAGTTCCAGGGGAAGGAGAGGGAAGGAGAGGGGAGGGGAGAGAAGAGAGGGAGGGGAGGGAAGGTGGACCATTGAAAGAGCCCACCCTACACTATTTGTCAGGCCTGACATTGATGCCATGGTTAAGATATGGGATAAAGACCTCATGGCTTTTGACTTTAGTTTTTCATAAAATAAATTATTACTATTTTTCTACTTCAATATTTCAAAAATCATGAAAAAGTTTTAACAGCTCCCATATTACTGATAAAATATGAAGTTGGATCGCTTTTATTTCCCATCTGCTGATTAAAAATTACACTTAAAAGTTTTAGATGATATGGGGCATGTAAAATAAAAGGAAAAAATTACTTGTTTTCCTAAATAAAAGTTAGGTGTAAATACATGACTTTTTAATATATAGATATATTGATTATGTATTTGAAGACAGTGGGACATAAAACTTCACATATAAATTTGTATGTATAAAAGCAGCTTGTTGAGCCTTCATTCATTCATTCATTCATTTGTTTCAGGGATCAAAACAAGGGACTCATACCTGTCAGTTAAGTGCTGTGTACCACGTGGCCCCAACCTCTCTTTTAATTTTAACAGCTTTGTTTAATTATAGTCAATAAGTCATATAATGTACCCATTCTTAAAAGTGCACAAGGAGGGCCTAAAGAGATGGCTTGGGCCGGGCGTTGGTGGCACACGCCTTTAATCCCAGCACTCAAGGTGCAGAGGCAGGCGGATCTCTGTGAGTTTGAGACCAGCCTGGTCTACAAAGTGAGTTCCAGGACAGCCTCCAAAGCCACAGAGAAACCCTGTCTCGAAAAACAGAGAGAGAGAGAGAGGGAAGGAGGGAGGGAGGGAGGGAGGGAGAGAGAGAGAGAGTGTGTGAGAGAGAGAGTGTAAGAGAGAGTGAGAGTGAGAGAGAGAGAGAAAGAGAGAGAGAGAGAGAGAGAGAGAGAGAGAGAGGGAGGGAGGGAGGGCTCTTCCAGAGGACCTGAGTTTGGTTCTCAGGACCCACTTGATATCCCAAATCACCTGTAACTTCAGCTCCAGGGGATCTCGCACCCTCTTATGGCCCCTTGGGTACCAGGCATGCACATGGTACAGATATACATGGAGGCAAAACAACCATACACATAAAATAAAAACAAATAAGTCTGTTTTAAAAAAGTATACAAGTAAATAGTTTCAAGTATATTCATAGATTTGCCATGATCAATGTCAAAACATTTTTATCACCTTAAAAAGAAACCCCACACCTCTTAGCTGTCAGCCTATATGCTGCAGCCCAAGCCGCAGGCACCCGTTGGCTTGCTAGCCTTGCCTGGGAGAGATCCCATCAGTACACATCTCAAATGAATGGAATCATAAGATGTTTTTTAAAAATACGTTTTTAATTGTGTGTGAGAGTTGGGGTGGTTTGTGAACATGAGTATAGGTGCCTACAGAAGCCAGAGGCATCGAATTATCGAATTCCCTGAAGCTGGAGTTAGACACACACACACACACACACACACACACACACACACACACACACACACACACGTTTACCTCACATGGGTGCTGGAAACAAAGCTTGTCTTCTGGAAGAGCAGCAAGTGTTCCTAACTAACCATCACTGTAGCCCCTAGAGTAATGTTTTAGAATTTTTGTTTGTTTGTTTTGGGTTTTGTTTTATTTTAAATTTAAGACTTTCCATGTAAGGTTTGTTCTTTGTTCTTTGCACTGTAGGATAGATGTCATTTTATTAATAGCTAGATCTTGACATGGTAAGACATGAGGTAACCAAATGCAAGCAATAAGGACAGCTAGGAAACCTTTTTGAGGAAACAATAAATGTGAAATGCTATTTTCCGAGTTCCTTAACACTATGTGTGTCTTGTTGCATACTCTTTTTAAAATATATATATATATATATATATATATATATAATAGTGCTAGTGTGCCTAAAAGTGTATGTACCTTTAAACTTTAAGATAATATTGTTTGGGAAAAAATATGCTTAATAGTTCTTATTTAAAGCGGCACACACTTGTGTTTTCTATAATCCATAGTTGGTTGATGTATTTCTTTTGAGAAGTTGTCTAATTGCTTGCAGCCTCATGAAGTGTAGTTAAGAATAATGCACATCGTGAAATGTCCACACTGACAGCTGACAGAAGCACTCCCTCTGCAACCATCACACGCTGTGCACGTGCCTGTCCTGGAGTTTCGTTTGAGCAAGATGCACATATGACTACAGTTTTATCATGTGCTTCTTTCTATACCTGCATATCATATTGTTGGGTTGTCATCTTTTCGCTGGAATCAATGTTTTCTTTTCTTTGTAATTTCCTTAGTGACCATGCCCATACATGGGCAATCAGAAAGTCTCAGCGGAATTAGTGAGCTAGGGTGGAAACAGTTGTTAAAAAAAACTAAATTGTGTGTAGTCACTTAATGTCAACAAAACATTTCACATTTACCCCAATTTGAGACAGGGAGGGTTTCCCTGTGTAGCCCTGCTGTCCTGAAACTATGTTACTCAGACTGTTTTCAAACTCACAGCCTCCTGAAAGCAGGATTGTAGTCATGTAGTGATTCCACTTTTGTGTGTCCTGGGGGTTTGGAGACAATTCCAAATGTATTTTTGCTGTTATACAACCCCTATGTTTTCTATGTGGTAGTTAGGTATGTGCCAAGAAATTTGCTTATTAAGCAATTCAGTTTTTAAATTATACCATGTGTAACCTTTTAAAAATATTTTTATAACTTCATAAAATATATTCTAACCACATCTTGAATTTATGTTTTTCTTAGCTCATCCCTCCACTTAAATGGAAAACAAATTCACGTTGCTTTCCTGAAAGAGTCTGACAAGTTGTTGTTAATTGGCCTGCCTGCTGAAGAGTGAGTTGAGATTTTGTTTGTTTGTTTGTTTACCTTTAAAAAACATTTTTGAAACTATGGTAATAACAACAGCAAAAAAAGTAAAATACTGGTTAAAAAAAGCCTGTCTCCTTAAAAGTATGCCACTTTTATCAAAAAGTCTCTCCTTGTATATGATCCCAAGATCCTGCAATGGGGTAGCTGTTACAGTAGTCTCAAACTTGTTTAAAAGTCCAAAGTCTCTTCTGAGAAACATGGCAATCTCTTAACTGTAATTCCCTGTAAAAATCAAAATCACAAAGCAGATCACATACTTCAAGCATATAATGTCACAGGATATACATTACCATTCCAAAACATAGGGAAGGGAGCACAGTGAGGAAATACTGGACCACAGCAAGACCAAAAATCAGCTGGGCAAACTCCAAACTCTGCATCGTTATGTTTTGATGTATCAAAATGCTCTTCAGATCTCCAACTCCTTTCAGCTTTGTTGACTGCAACACACTTCTTTCTCTCAGGCTGCTCAGCAGCTTTCCTCAGGAAGTATCTCATGGTTCTGGCATCTCCAACATCTTGTGTCTTCAAGGCAATTCAGGCTTCACCGTTATAGCTTTATAACTCTAGGCCTCCATTTGGGGACAGCCCTGACGCATGCCTGGTCTCAGCAGCTTTCTTTAATAGAGGAGGAAGATTCCATAATACCTTTATTCTACCCTTAACTCTAAAGCCAGAACCACATAGCTGAAGCTGCTAACTTCTGCTGCTTGCTAGGGCTTCTGGAACATGGCACCCTCATTCAATTACATCTTCACCAGCTTTCTGTTCTCACTGGTTTCCTTTACTGTGTAAGTTTGACTATCCTGAAACTTTCTCTGTAGACCAAACTGGCTTTAAACTTAGAGATCTGCTTGCCTGTTTCTAGAGTGCTGGGATTGAAGACATGTATGACCTAAGGGGTTCTTTAATTCCTTTTTACAAATTGCAAGCTTAGCTGGTTGGGGTCTTGCCCTGAGGTCACCACTCCCTTTATTCCATTTCTTAATCTGTTTATCTTCTTGAACATAGGATTTAGTACCATTTTACTTCCTGGTTCCCCTTTCCTTCTCAAATTCTACATTTTGTGTTTTTCCTTTTTCAGTTTCTCCTCTTCATTATAAATCTTCATAAGAGTCAACACTAGTAACCTCACGACAGAGTCTATACTAGGTTGTTTTGAGATTTCCTCTGCCAGGCAGACTTTTCTGACAAGGGCAAAGCCACATTCTTCACCAAAAATAATCACAAGAACAATCTAGGCAGCATACTAAAATTCTCCTCCTCTAAAACCTCTTGAGCCAGACCCTACAGTTCAAATCACCTTGAGCACCTCTGTCTTCTATGTTCCTACTAGTATGGCCCATTAAGCAGCACTTAAAGCATTCCACTGCTTTGCTAACCTGAAGTCCCAAAATCATGGACAGGCCTTTCACAGCAATACTGCAGTCCCTGGTACCAACTTCTGTCTTAGTGTTTCTGTTACTGTGAATAGACACCATGACCATGGCAACTTTATAAAGGAAAACATTTCATTGGAGCTGGCTGAGAGTTTCAGAGATTTAATCCATTATTGTCATGGTGAGAAACATGGCAGCATGCAGGCAGACATTGTGCTTGAGAAGGAGCTAAGAGTTCTACATCTTGATCCACAGGCAACAGGAAGTAAACTGTCACACTAAGTATGGTTTGATCATATGAGACCTCAAAGCCTGCCTCCACAGTGACACTTCCTCCAATAAGGCCACACCTACTCCAACAAGACCACACCTCCTATAGTGCCACTCCCTATGGGGGCCATTTTCTTTCAAACCACCATGTGCCTGCAGCTTATTCATGCTGAAAAATTTGGGGAGTCAAGACCTAGCACAGAATGTTTTGCCCAGGTGTTCAATGTCTTTAGTAAAACAGTGATTCTGCAATGCTGAAGTGGCTTCCTGCCTTAAGGTAACCATTCTCTAGTTGTGTAAGCAGTATTTAACAGCTCTGCCCACAGCTGACTAAATTGTACCAATATATAAATGTATAAATATATAAACATACAAATGCAAGAGCACCTTGCTTCCTGGGGTCTGCTTCATTAGATTGTGTTGTGAATGAGTAACTGCATTTCTTCTTTTAAGAGTTCCTCTTCCCCAGCTAAGGAACATGATAGAAGACACTGCTCAAACCCTCAAGTTCATGTATGGTTCCTTAGACAGGTAAGTATTTTGCTGGACTCTGTCTCTCAATTGTCGAGTCATGGTTCTGTGTCTTCCTCTATGCTTGGCAGTGACTCTTGAGTGAGAAGCAAATTATTTGTTCATTCTTTTCCTTGTCACAATTTCCTCATGTTTTCTTTCCTTTTTTTCTTTCTTAATTTTTATTGAATTCAATTATGAATTTTTTTTGAGAAAGAATCTCCCTGTGTAGCCCAGACTGGCCTGGCCTTGCTCTGTAGCCTGGGAGGGCTAGAACTCATGATCCTACTACCTCAGCCTCCCAGGTGCTGGCACTGTGGATGTGAACCACCACACCTGACTTGTAGTGAAGCCATGATGCTGTTACTTCTTCCCTAGTATATTCCAATATGTACCATGTGGAAAGTCACAAAAAATTGCTAATTGGTACAAGACATAGTGACTACAAGTTCTATATTACAATATGTGAACCAGTACAAACTTGTTCATTTCTTTAGAGGCAAAAATAGCATATTTCTGTGTAGACTACAGAAGAGATTAAGATTTAAAGTAAATGTTTGTGTTTTCTTTGCTATTTCACTAACCAAAAATGTTTCTGTATTCAAAAAGCTTAGTTAAAAATATGCATTTACCTAGGCATAGTAGCTCACACCTGTAGTCTCAGCATTTGAGAATCTGAGGCAGGAGGATTACTGTAAGTTCAAGGCAGGCTTAGGCTACATTAGGAGTTTCCAGGCCACTCTGAATTATAGTCCTTGTCTCAAAAAAACAAAATAAACTAACAAAGCACAGTTAGTAGAAAGCAGATACATTATGGAATGTTGTGTATTCTCCATAAAACATAAATATGCATATCTGTTTTAGGCATGCTTTCTGTTTCTCTTTTTCTATTTTTTATCCTTTGGCAGGTTCATAAGTTTGCACAGTGAATTTTAGTCGTGCCCACTCTTCATTACCTCTTCCTTCTACTGAAATCCTCTCTCTTCCCAACAACCCCCAACCCACACACCCACACCCCCCCCCACTCTTTCAAATTTCCTGTGAGCCACTGAGTTTATTAGGATTGCTGCATAAGCATTGCCAGGGATAATTTACTAGAACATGGGTAACATTTCAGTGGCTACACCACTGAAGAAACCATTAGGTGTCAATAGTTCCTCAATAGTCCGTGATGAAATGTCTGGGAATTCATTCTTGTACAGGTCTATGCAGACAGCCATAGCTGTAATGAGTTCACAAGTGCAATGGCTCTGCTGTATCCAGCAGGTATCTTTTCTTGCATTTCTCCCACACACCCTGACTCTTCCATTCTTCACTTTGATGCTAAGCCCTGGGGGGTGATACAGATGTCCCCATTTAGGACCAAGTACTCAACCATCACTTATTCGTGCCGCTGGGGCCAGTTGTTGGTGCTCCTTGGTTTTTAACCTTATAATGTATTTCCTGATTTGAAGGGGAAAAGTGAGGTAGCTGTTAGTCATTTGAATGTACAGAATTATGAATGGAAATCATTTTTCTCCAGTGGGATTTCTGCAGGTTCTAGTGCCTCTGGGGCCTAAAGTGATATCTCTGCTCTAAACACCAGAGTATACCAGAATAGAAACTGAAAGATAGTTTACACATTTTCCAAACATGGTGGTATCTCTCTCTGCTTATTTGTGGTGAGACTGTATTGTCACAATGCTTAAAGCCTCTTGGATGAACTTTTCTTAGTCAGTCTGGAAAGTTCGTTTTGTTTGTCACATTCTCCACTGTGAGGAGCCACATCCCTCCCAACTTGATTGTTTACCAGAAACTTCCAGATGAATGTGGTGCAAAGGATGGTCATCCAGTGCCTTTGCCTTTTACCAATGTGATCTTAAGTAATGAGGAATGAGACTAGTAATAATTGCCTTTTTCAAGTTATATTAGAGCGGCAAGCAGTATTGTGCCCTAGTTGAGATATTTCCACAAACTGGGAGATTATCAAAGATTAACTTTCTGCAGTGGATTTCATACATGTCAACCAACTGCATAAGTTGTTGAATGGCCCATAGAGTAAACTGAGGGCAGAGAATCTGTTTTCTCTGAATTTTACCTTTATTGGTATAAAAAATTTCTCTGAAGTGGCAGCAAATTTAATAATTTCACCTTGTTTAAGTGTGGACTTGAAGGACAAACTAAGAAAACAAATGGGACTATAACTGTTGGGAGGACTGATGATCAAAGGGATTAAGACTGGGCTGGTTTAACCCCCAGAAACAGCTGACCAGACAAAGGTTAACTCTTGAATCCCAGGCATCAGCCTGGGAACCCAGCATGGGACTGATCAAGACCCCCTGAATCTGGGTGTCAGTGAGGAGGCCTAGGGAACCTATTGAGCCTTGGGCAGCAGATCAGTACCCATCCCAAGTATACACACGGACTTTGGACTCCCATAGAACAATGTGAGGTGCACTCTCACCCTGAACTCTTGGGGAAGGGTCTAGGCCCTGCCCTATATGAAATGACAGACTATGGACACCCCCATGGAGGGCCTCACTCTCCCTGGGGGAATGAGGGGATAACGGGGGGGGGGTTGGGGGGAGGGCACGGGAGGAGGAGGGGAGGGAAAGGGAGAGGGACCTGGAACTGACTTGTGAAGCAACCTTGTTTCTTATCTAAATTTAAACTGGAAAATAAAATAAAATAAAATAAAAAGCAACATGGATATAAGCAGTTACTAGTGACATTTTGTAGCAATTTTAATTAAGTTTTTTCATACAAAAAGATTTCAGAAAGGTTTTGTAAATGTCCAAAGACTTTTTTGTTTTGTTTTGTTTTGTTTTGGTTTGGTTTGGTTTGGTTTTGGTTTTACGAGACAGGGTTTCTCTGCCTCCCGAGTGCTGGGATTAAAGGCGTGTGCCACCACTGCCCGGCATAAATGTTCAAAGACGTAAGGATCATTTTAAATGTGTGTGCTAGTTCCTATTAGTGTTATGAGCAAATTAAAGCTACATTTCTTTTCACCATCCCCAGCTAATCCCTCATCGAGTCCCAGCCTGTCTAACAAGCATCTGCATCCACTCCCTCTGTGTTTGCCATTTTCCTGCCCAACAGCTGCTCCGTGGTACTACAATGGCCTGCTTCGTTCTTGCTACATTAATTTCCATAAAGTAGTTAGAATTATCAACATCATTATCTGGGTCCCACCTACCTCCCTATCTGATTAGATCCCAAACTTCACCCAGTCCCCTGCCTTACACATTGGCAAAATTTGCTCCACCCCAGACTCTGTACTCTTCCCTCCTGCTGGGTCTTCTTCATACAGGGATATCAATATCACCTTAAATGGCCTATTATCAGAGTTTTTCTTAGTCATTTACGCTAACACAGCAAACTGACTGGATATGAAGTTGCATACCTATAGTCCCAGCTCTTTGGGAGGCTGAAGGGCCACATGACCTCACAAGTTTAGGCCAGCCTGAGCAATGTCATAATATCCTATCTTTAAAATAACCATCTGACCAATCATACCACCCATCCACACCCAGTCATCTCCTTGCCTCATTGCATCAGAATGTGTGCTCCACTGGAGTCCATTGTCTTCTGTCTTGATTTTCTTGCTGTACTCCTAGCCAAGAGAGTAGTGACTGGAACAAAGTAGGCACTTAAATATTTGCAGAATGAATCAGTGACTATTACTTTGTCATGAAATGAGCCAGCCATTGTGTCATCTTCTGAGCTGTTCCAAGGAATAGCATGATTAATGCTGGATTGCTTTTGCATGTCTAAAATCAGCTATTTAATCTTCCAGTCCCCTCCCCCTCACTCTTCTTTCCTCCCTACTTCCTTCCCTCCCTCCAATGCTGGCGCCCTCAAATGAGGAGGAAAATAACTTAGCTCCTTATTTTCTGGTTCCTGTGTACTCGTAGTAAGCACCACAGAAGTTGTGTGTGCTGAGTACTAGGTGATTTGCAGGTGAGTTGGATCACATTAACCCCAATTTTGACTTGAAAACCAAAATTCAGAGGGGCCCGTTGATTGGTCTTATGACAACTGCCTAGTAAGATGCAAAGATCTCTGTTATCCTCCATCACTTGAAAGAACTAGGAGTTGTAAATGGTTGGGAGATGGAGAGGATGGAAATGTGTACTTCAGCCCTTTTTCTTGTGCGCATGCCCTCTGGGTCGGCCCAGCTGTTCTTCCTGTGTCCTGTTAAATACAGAAAGTGTATTTCTTAACACCCGCCTCCAGTCACACTACAGGGGACAGTGGCTGTCACTAAGGGAACAGGGAGGAAGAGCGCTTCAGTGCTGGAATGGAACCCGTCCACTTGAGTAGTGCAGAAGGTGATAGACCTCTCCATGGATTAAGCTCACTTCCAGCTCCTTGTTGTGGAATGTTAGTTTAAGATGTGTTACATTTGTTTATGCTGTGGAATGTTTGTTTAATGATGCAAAGATGTATTGCAGTCTTTCATGTTGCTTTTTTTTTTTTTTGACTCTGTGAAACTGTGATACTGTGCCTGTCTAAAACCCCTGATTGGTCTAATGTATAGCCCAACAGCCAATAGCAGGGCTGGCTAGCAGAGTGAATAAATAGGAGGAGAAATCTGGGAGGAGATCAAGAAGGGAGAGAGAAAAGAAGTTGCCAGCTACCCAGCCACACAGCCAGCCATGGAGTAAGAGTGAAAGTAAGATAGACAGAAATAGAAAAAGGTAAAAGCCCAGAGGCAAAAGGTAGATGGGATAATTTAAGAAAAGCTGGCTAGAAATAAGCCAAGCTAAGACCTAAGACCGGGCATTTATAAGTAAAAATTAAGTCTCCATGTGTGTTTATTTGGGAGTGAGGTGGCAGGTCCCCAAAAGAGGCAAAGAGTAAACAACCAACAACTGCTCCTGTTTCTTCAGTGCCTTTTGCCAGGTTGAGAACACTCCTCATTTGGATCATTTCTTCAGCTTGTTCTTTCAACGAGCTCTTCAACCTGACAAGTTGCATCTTAGTGCCAGCCCTAGTGCTCAGCAGTATGATGCAGCCAGTGCCGTGCTTTTGGACAGCCTCCCTGGAGTCCGTTGGCTCCCTCTTCCACAGGAACTCAAGGTAATCTTAGGGACCCTAAATAAGAATCAGAACCATCTGCCTTGTTCTAAGCCTTGAGCTCTCATTTTCTTTTAAAAATAATTTTAAAAACTTCCTACTTGGGACAGGCCTGCTGCTGTGGTGTGTACAGGTCAGAGGTTGGGTTAGTATGCTTGGTTCCCTTCCTCCATCCTCCATCTCTGTCTAGTTTCCAGGATTGAGCTCTTGAGCCCCCCGGCCCTTTTCGCTCTTTCTCTTCCATGCGCTAGTGTGTGTGTGTGTGTGTGTGTGTGTGTGTGTGTGTGTGTGTGTGTGTGTTCTTTGGTATTATAGGTAGCAAATGAAGAAGCTGCTGAAGTAGGAGATCCAGTGATCCTTTAAAAATAGAAATTGGTTCATTCATCATATTTTATATTTAAGCTTTCCAAACTCAGGATTCTTTTCAGAAATTTAAGCTATATGTCTTACTTGGCAATTTCGTGACTGTGATTTTATAACACAAGATCAGCTTTATGTTTCTGTCCAGATTTCTTCTTGAACAGAGGAGCAGGTGTGGAATGTTACTTCATTTTTTAGTGCTACTAAAAGACTGTAACTAAACAGATTCTCTGGTGATCTGCATTAGCAGACAGTCTTAATAAGAATACCAGGTCCATTGAGAGCAAAGTAATTCTTTTGTTTTGTTTTTGATGCTGGATGTTGAAGCCTGTACCTCTTACATCCCAATTCTTTCCCCGAACATACTAGTTATATTTTTCAGTATGACTTCATAATCATGCACCACTTATAACTTTACACAATTGACAAGATCACTTCAAAACCTTCAATGTGGCCTACCATGTAATTCCTTTGATTATAGCATTTTCTCAGTATTAAATGAGGTGACACTCCTGAAGACACCCAGACTGTGTAACTGGAAAAACCTACTCAAGATTCTATTCTTCACGAAGCCCTTCAGCATGTACCTGAGTGATTTACAGTTTACTGTTGATCACTTAAGTCGATATGTCAAGATGAGATAGGGGCATGCCAGCGTTCACAACAACCACGCTGCAGTTACAGTTGTGGAAGTTCCATTACAGGTTGAAGGACTTGGGTATCAGCACACGTGTGCAGGACACTTTGTCTTCCGATCTTTTATATTGGTTCTGTAAATTGCCATTCTCAGACTATAGTGACCATTTTCTTTTCTTTTCCCAGTCCTGGAACTTGAGCCTGGGAGTCTAAATGTGCTGGTCCAGCGTTCTGCCACTGGGCTATATCCCAACCTCACTTTCCTAGGTCACCAGTGCTTTCATGAGAAGACAGAACTTTCTGACATACAAAGTAACTGGATAGCATTGCCTTTAATATAGAAGGATCCTGGCTCCGAAGCCTGTCTCACATCCACTGGGGTGTCTTAACTTTTGAGAGGCTCAAGTCCCCCAGGCCCTTTGTCATCAGCGGGCACCAATAAGAGCTGGCTTCTTGGCTAAGAGTCACCTAGGCTCCTGTCCCTGTTTCATAATTGCTTCATTCAAGAAACTTGATCTTGACAATATATAGTCCATCCTTCTACCACTGGTCCCTCTACCTGATGGTAGAGATCATAATGATCATAATGATGGTAGATATCATAAATCATAAAATTTAGTCAGTAGCTTACACTGACTTTCTGGATTAGATGGTGGACTGGAGCTGGCTTTTTGTAACCTTGTAATAGAACATATTCCCCTCTGAAAACAGAAAGAGAAGAGCTTCAGGAAGGCACAAAGGAAGTGATAGAAATACCTGAAGAGATGAACAAGATTTACAAAACACTATCCAAGCTCACTGAAGAGAGAGAAGATTCAAATTAACCAATTGCAATAAAAAGTGTTAACAAATTCTCATAAATCCAGAAGATAATTAGGATATACTTTGAAAACCCATATTCCAAAAAAACTGGAGAATCTAGAAGAAATCGTTAATTTCCTAGACATGTATGACCCACCAAAATGACTTCATCCAAGCAATGTGAGCATGAGCATGGGAGCTGTCTTCCGAGGCCTTCTTCTGATGGGGGAAGTCCTTCTGTGTATATGTTTGTCTGATTGGTTGATAAATAAAACACTGTTGGCCAACAGGGAAGCAAGATAGGTGGGACTAGGAATCGAGGATGATTCTGGAAAATGTAGTCAATAGTAGGGAGTCATCATGTGATGGGGTGGGGGGATAGGATGCAAGTCTGGCAGCCTCAATAAGATAAGAGCTCATAAAAATATATATTAGTAATTATGGTTTAATAATTAAGTCAAAGCTAGCCATTAAGAAACCATAGCAAACGGCCAACAGCTTCATAATTAACGTAGTGTCCTGTGTGTTCATTTGGGACTGACAAGGCTCTGGGACCAGGCTAGATGGAAGAATGCACAGTACATTCTTCAATTCATTTCCTTTGTGTCTCAATGTTTTCATTGTAGAAGGCTCCTCCCTCCTTGGTTAGTTTTGTCCTTGGTTAGTTTTATCTTTCTTTCTTGGTACGTTGGCTATTGCTATACAGTCTTTGATCCATACAGTTTACTGGAGATGACTCATTCTTTTTAAGCACTTTGTGGCAGAATCATTGGGGTTTTCTTGCAGATAGGGATACTTGGCTGCTTTATTTCCTGCGTGTGTACCTTTTATTTCTTTCTCTGGTCTTACTTCTCTAGATAAGACTTTGAGTACTGTAGTGAATCAGAGTAGTGAAAATGGGCACCATTGCCTCATTCCTAATTGCAAAAGAAATGCTTTCCATTTTCCCCACTTTGAATATAATGTTGGCCGTAAGTTTGCTGCATGTAGTTTTTATGTTGCTGAGGTGTATCCATTCTATTCCTAATTGCTACAGTGTTTTTATCAAGAAGGGATGTTGAACTTGACCAAAGGCCTTTTCTATAGCTAATGAGATGATCATGTGATTTCTGCCTTTGAGTCTATTTATGTAATGGATCTCACTTACTGGTTTGTATGTTAAACCAACCTTGAATTCCTGGAAGGAAACCAGTTTGGTCATGATGTGTGAGCTTAGTGGTAGAGCATGCTTGTGGAAGTCAGGAGACAACTTATGGGCCTCAGTTCTTTGCCTCCTCCACTGGGGTTCCAGGGATTGAACTCAGGCCCTCAAGCTTGGCAGCAAGTACTTTTACCAGCTAAACCGTATTGCCAGACCGTCTTACTACTTTGTTGAGAAATTTTTTGTCTGTGTTAGTCATAGAGGTTGGTCTGGACTTTCTTTTTATTGTGATAGAGCTAGAGCACTTGCATAGCATGTATGAGGGCCTGGGTTTGTCCCTAGCACTGAAAAAAAATAGTTGAAGCATTTACATAATTATTCTTTATTAATAAACAATCGGAAGTTAGCTATCAGAGTAAGAACCTGAATAAGAGAAGTGACAGAGAAGCCACCAGTGACCTCCTTTCTCTTCCTCAGTCCAAAAGGGTTGAGGTCCTCTCTCAGCCCTGCCTCACTGCTTCCTGTCTCCTGTCTGTCCTCAGTCCTCCATGGCCTCTATGGTTAGTTTTGGTCAGCTAGTGGCTAGCTCATCCCTTTAACTCAAAGGAAACTTTATTATCAGAATGTAATCAAAATATCACACAATCAGTAGTTTTGAATTTTTCTTGAGGATTCTTCTTTTGACCTGTGTAACAATAGTCATAACACGAAATTGAAGGAAATGATAGTCATACTTGGTATGGTTTCGTTTTGTTGCCACTGTTCAGTGTTCATCCCCTTGTGTTCTGTTTGTTTTCTGTCTTTTGTAGCTATAACTTTCACGTAATTTTTTCCTTTTTTTTGTTGTTTGTTGTTGCTGCTTTTAATCATTGTTCTAGAGCTCATAGTACACCTTTACATCTAACCACAATTGACACAGAGAGTGCTGTGCGATGCAGGAGTCCTAACCATGGCCACACCCAATCACAGCTCTGCCCTCAAAGGCCTTCATTACTGCTACAGTGCTTTTGACGGTGCACTTCCTGTTGGTTCTTTCATAGGGACTACTTCTTAGCTTGCCTTGTCTTCTTTTCTTGCGTGGATTTCCTGACTGTCAATTACAATATCTCAGGCTTGTCTAGTCTTAGCCATATCTTATCTGATGTACCTATCCGGAATTTGTGGGATTGCTGTTTGGTGCCTGGTAATTTTTTTCCCCTTGGTAGTTGGGCATGTTGTAAATCTGAAAGGACCACTAGACGTAGGCCTTGCTGATGAGGCGGTGGAGTGTTGGGAGGGGAAGTGTCCTTGGCCCTTGGCACATGCTTAAGGCTTAGCCTTTCAGTGAGCCTGGAGGTTGGTAGACTGTGGGCTGTAGCATTGTTCGTCAGGTTTCCTCTCCCCTCTGCTGAGACAGGCTGACTAGCTAGCCTGAGTGAGGGTTTGGCATCTCTCTCCTCTCACATAGGAGGTTGCACCTCCCTCTTCTGCAGTGAGGAAGGCTGTTGCTGTGCTAACCCCCAGGTCTGCCGCATCCCATTGGGCTGTGCTGTAGTTAACTAGTTTCTCCATGGAGCAGACTTTGTTAAGGATAGCCAAGCGCTCTAGAGTGTGCCTCCTTTCCTTCCTCATGTCAGAGTTAGGAGAGCGTTCACTGGGGCAACTTGGTTAGGCTCCTGGTGGGAAAACTCACAAAAGCTTGGGGGACCCAACAGCCTGGGTTTCCATGGAGTCTTCAACCGTGGAAATTACGACGTGGAGCCTCTGGCAACTTGCCAACTACAAGGCAGGTTTTCTTGTGTTGGCCCTGGCTGTGTTGGAATTTGTGCTCCTGTGTCTGTTATGCAGCTGTGAGTGAGCGCCTGACACTCTCTCTCTCTCTCTCTCTCTCTCTCTCTCTCTCTCTCTCTCTCTCTCTCTCTCTCTCTCTGTGTGTCTGTCTGTCTGTCTGTCTGTCTGTCTGTCTGTCTCCTGGATCTTGAGGCTAGCAGTGTGCTGTGTTCTTGCCCTTCTTCAAGACACAGAAGAGTTGACTTTTCTGTTCAGCTTTTGACTTGTTTGGACTGAATACCCACTTCAGGCTTTCTACATGTGTAACAAGAAACCAGAGCCCCAGAACTTTTTCCAAAAAGCTCAAAGAAAGTTTTCTTCCTTTCTTTGAGATTTTCCACTGTCTTAGAATAGTAGCTTTTATTGATAACATATCTTTTAATGAAAATAGTAAGGAATTTAATCCCATTAAAAACGGGTTTAAAAAGTAGTCATGAGGCAACTTGTGATTGGCAAATGTTCAGCGGAAGTATTTGGTTTTAATTTGGAAATAACTTACTTTGTTCCAAGTTTATATATGAGGAAGTCTGCTCTTTCCCAGGTGTTTGAGAATTTTTTTCAGTCATGCTTTCCTGGGGCACACTGGCATTGTTAGAGGGACAACATTTTACCTGTTTTCTACAGGAACAGCTGGTTATATTAGTCTAACATCAGCCTGAAGACCAAGTAGAGCAGCATTCACAGAACAGCCTGAGATCAAAATCACATGTGTTTGTTCCCTTTGTCTGACAGTCTTTCACAGGGTAAAGGTTCTCACCAAACAAGAGAACACAAAGTATTTGCTAGGTGCAGAAAAAAGTGGGTCACAGATGAGTACTAAGTCACCCTGTGTGAAAAGCGTTGAAAGGCAAGACTAATGTCTCAGGAGCTTTTGTTGTCTCAGAGCCAACACAGTGTGAGACACAGCCCTGCCGAGCACGCCTTAGCCTATAAGAAAAAAAAAAGAAGAAGAAGAAAAAACAGGGGGATCTGTATTTATCCATAGTGTATATGCTACATGTTTAAGTAGCTATTTTTTGTATGTATACACATTTATGCATTACTGGTTAATTTTACTTTAAATCGTGGATGTTTGAAGGAAGAGTTCCAGCAATATCCATGGAAACAAAGCCAAATCCTATGTAAAAGATTTTTGTCTAATAACTCTGTGGGGAAGTTAAGCTGTGCCAGATCCCAGGGGAACTCCTGACTTAATGTTTTAATCTGAATAACGATTGGCAACGCTTTATTCAAAACATTGTTTCCAGGAGAGAAACAAGGAAGAATGTTGGTATTTTTCAGGAATTCAACTGATCAAAAATATACAGGAAAAGGGAAAAACCTGAAATAGGTTGAGCACATTAATAGTGATTTTTTTTCATTTTGCTTAGTCTAACAAGTTTTAAAAAATTAACTTAAAACAAGAAAGCAGTTTTTAATCTCATAAATTGTTTTGTGTTGGTCACAAGATTTTTTATCATTTTCCAGCAACTTTTAATAAAAAGTCCTTATGTTGAATAAGTTAATGTTTTATATTTACAAAGCTTAAAAATAGCATGTTCCATTTGGGGATATTTCTTGAGTAGTGTGACAGGGAGAGGTATGTGTTCAGTCCTCAGGCAGTTCTGAATGCTCCTCATATGTCCACACAGGTGGAGTTGGACACAGTGTTAAGTGACCTTGAAGCTGCCGACTTTGAAGAGCTGGTAAGAGGAGGACGATTTTCACGAGGGGCTGCTTCAGCTCTCAGCTTGTAATCAATCATTCTGTCTGGCAAGTGGTCTTAGAGTACTCGGCCTCTGTTTTGATACTGGCAAATGTCTACTTGTCCCAAGGTTTTCTATTCAGCTGAAAATACTGTCTGCACAACGTGTGCTATGAGGCTTAGACAGTGATTAACTAAAAGACACTAGGACTTTGTGAGGACACAGGTGGAGACCTGATGAGTTGAGAACACTGTAAGTCTGAACTAAACTTGAAACTCTCAGTGTGACTTTCAACTTTTTAAAATTTCTGTTTTCTTGGTCTCCTCAATGAAAAGACCAACTGGTAAATTGTTAGCAAACAATAAATACCATTAACACTTAAGCCACTGTGTATAAGCAACTCCTCACCACAAGAAGCTAGGTTCCTCAGAGACATGGAATGTTCCAGAACTGGCACAGGTTATGTGTGCTGGGCCTGAAACCATTAGATGATGACTCAGCATCTAGGGTATTGAAGTCTGTAAGTCCATAATGCTTCGGAAGAGGGGGACCAAGTCACTTTTGTGAAAAGTGGTGTTAAGTGGGGAAGAACCAGACATTCATGCTTCTCCTCTTGTCTGAACCACACGTCAGGGTGAGCACACAGATAAAGAAGACAACAGGAAGTACCCTGTCAGTAATTGCTTTGGAGTCTTTATCTTCTGCTGTGATAAAATACTGTGCTGACGTCCATCTTCCATTTATACAGTCCAGGATCCCTGTGTAGGGAGTAGTCCTGCCCACTGTTAAGATGGGTCTCCCTGTATATATTAAGATACCCAAGATAATCCCCCCAATATGCCTAGAGGTATACATCCCATGTGATCCTGCCTTCAGAGGTTGACACAGAACACTATTTGCAGTGTGGAAATACACAGACCACCCATGAAATACCTGAATGAGGCATTACATTACATCATCCACCACCATTAAGTAAAGGGCATATCAAGTGACTCTATTTGTAGAAGGGAAGTTATAATCAGTTAAATCCAGACTGGGAACACGGAATATATTCTCCAACAAATAAATCACAGAGATGGAGGGAGGCAGAGACAAGAGCAGAAAGACCCTGACAGAGGCTTTGAGGAGACAACCAAGTACACTGTATAGTCTTCCTTGGCTTCTCATTCAAACAAGTTTCTTCAAAATATCGATGAGGCGGGGCCTGGTGGCACACACTTTTAATTCCAGCTCCAAGAGGCAGAGGCAGGTGGATCTCAAGTAAGGCTAACCTGGGTTACATAGTGAGGCCCTGTCTCTAAATAAATAAATACATACATAGACGTTTGTGAGACAATTAAAGAAATTTAGTGCTTGTGGCCATGTGTTAGACGAGAATAAATCTTTCAACATTGGCATTAGGGTTACATGTTTTCTTAAGATGTCTTCTGTTAGAGTATATTCTTTTTAAAAAAATATTTTATGTCTGTGTTTGTAGCTGAATGTATGTATGTGTACCATGTACATGCTTGATCCCACAGAGGCCAGAAGAAGGGATAGGATCTCCTGAAAATGGAGGTGCAGGTGGTTGTCCTCCACCATTGGGTGTGGAGAACTGAACCTGGGTCCTCCTCAAAAGCAATAAGCTCGCTTAACCTCTAAGCCATCTCTCCAGCCCCTTGGAGTGCATTCCGAAGTTATTTACAGAAGAAGTATATCTGGGGTGGTTGAAAATAATATAGTAAGAAAGAGGGGAAGAGCAAGATATGAGGAAATAAGACACACGGCACACTCACCCAGGCAAATCTGTGCAGCAGCGGACATGAAGGAGCTGATGTTACCGTCTCTGTCTCCCACCTTCTGCTTCAGCCTCCAAAGCTCTGGCCATACAGGCATGTGCCACCACGCCCAGTGTTGTTCACTCCTCTTATTTCTGTGTACCATATGGATGGGACATAGTTTCAAAAATGCTTAGGTTATTTCTGATTTTTCATTTCCTCTATGTTTTGGATAAAATTTACAGATGCACAGGAAGTGGCAAGAACAAATGTTTCTCTTTATCCTTTCCTACTGGCATCCGAGGAGTAACTGCTCCCAGAGCTTGGAATTTCTGTAGCCTTACATTCCTACACAAAACCCCACGTGTATGGATGTATATATCACAGTTAGTTGTGGGAGAGTGCACACCATTCAGCAAGACTCAGATGTAGTGTTGTTTCGTTCTGGAACTTGCGTTTTCTACTGAGTAGTGCATCCAGGAACCTTTATGCCTGCACCATTCTAAAACCTGTACTGTTCTCTGACACAACATCAAACCTAGCTGATCATCCCTTCATTCCGAATGTGGCGTTATCTCTAATTTGTATTCCAAATAATTCACTATCGGCTTTTACAAAAATGTCTCAATTCACTGAATTATCTTATAGATCCGTAGAAGGAGGGATTACTCAAATAGAGTGTGTGTTCTGGTTTTTTAAATATCATTCACTTGCCCACAAATAAATTGTTCCAATTTGTCCTTTAAAAAGTAGTGCATGATAATGTTGGATGTTGTGGATTGTAATAGGAGCTTTCTTGTCATAACAGTTATTGTCAGTGTCCTCATGGAAGAACAAATGCTGTGTTCTATTATGTTTAGACCACAAGACTATTAGACAAGTAAACATACTGCACTTTCGTCCCCTTCCTTTAACATTTGATGTCAAAGGTGCCATAACAAGTTGTTTCTAGGGCAGTGGTGGCGCACGCCTTTAGTTCTATCACTCAGGAGGCAAAGGCAGGAAGATCTCTGTGAGTTTGAGGCCAGCCTTGTCCACAGAGTGAGTTCCAGGACAGCCAGGACTGTTACACAGAGAAACCCAATATAATCTCTACTTGAACTATTGCAGCTTAGCTAGAATATTTTTATCTTTTACTAAAAATAAATGAGTACCACATTATAAATCGACTATGATTTCCCCACAGTCTGAGGATTACTATGACATGAGACGGCTGTACACAATTTTGGGATCTTCTCTGTTTTACAAGGTAAGTTGAAGCTTGAAATATTTGTCAATATCCAACTGCTGTGTACATAGACCTGAAGTAAATTTTCTCAGACTTTTGCGTGCATGGAAGAAATGTTACCACTTTACTTCTCTGTGTAGTCACAAGATTATGGACTGGAAATAAGACTTCAGAGATTTATAAATACAGTAAATATTTATACTTTACTATATGCTAAGGCATTTCTAAATGTACAGAAGTGAAACAGTACTTAAAAGAATAAGGTATATAAAAGAGAAGAGCAATATGTTCTTTTTTTCCAGAATTTAAAGAAAATTACGTGTATTCGGTGTATGTGTGCATGAGCCACAGAACATATGTGAAGGTCAAAGGATAGCTTGAAGGAGTTGTTCTCCTACCATGTGCATTCCTGGATCGAACTCAGGTCATCAGGCTTGGTGGCCAGTGCCGAAACCCACTGAGCAATCTCCAGCAGTGTATTCTTGATTTCCTTTTGCAGTAGTGTCCTTGCTCTTTTTAACTTCTTCAGGAGTGACATGTATTGCATCTTGTGGCATCAAGAAACTACTTCCATGTAAAGCATTAAGAATCAAGTCAGTTTAAGTTTTTCACTTAGTAATATCTCTAAAAGCAACGAATAGCATCCCTACCATAGAATCAGCTGATACAGGAGGTACACAGAAAAGAATCAGTCTATGCTAACCTTGACCCTGTGTCCTTTTCTAGTCCTGGTTGTACCAAGCATTCAAGGTAATCCCACTTGAGGTGATCTGGCTTTGTGTGAGAGCCTGTCTTCTGAGTCCCTGTGGTTGTCAAACTTTATCTGCAGTTTGACTCAGATAAAAGTGTGGATTTGGCCAGATCTTAGTTTACTCCCTTTAGAACTACACCATTTTAAGCCTACTGTTTTGGTGTTAATAAAGCTCTTAGAAATGCGGGATCATTGATTCATGTTACTCACTGACATTGGCTCCTCCTGATTAAATCCCAGGGTTACTTGGTGTGCAGCCATCTACCTAAGGATGATATTGTTGAGATTGCTGCGTATTGTCGCCAGTACTGCCTGCTGCCTTTAGCAGCAAAGCAAAGAATTGGCCAGCTGATAATATGGAGAGAAGTCTTCCCACGCCACCACCTCCAGCCTCCTGTAGACTCAGACACCGAGGTCTTCCAGGAACCTGAAGGGAGATATTTTTTACTGATTGTCGGACTGGTGAGTTAGGAAATGCTTCCTTGAATTTCATTTTACACATTTTAAATCTACTTGCTTTAATATGCCAATATGCCCATTTACAAATATGAATATGTTAATTGCTTGTGTTCAATCAAGAAAATGTTGAGTGCTCCTCTATTTCCTTTCTTCTGTATCTATTTAATACTCATGAAAAAATACTGGTAAAATCCAGTGTATAATTTTAGCAGGGTCTGAAGATGTTTTGTTCCCCTTCCTAAAGTGTTTTTACCCCTTTGGCTTGTTTTGGGAAGCGTGAAACTATAGATTTGAACCCTGCATGGTGATGCCTTTGCTTATGCATATAGACTATATTGAGTATTTTTATTTTTATGGCAGCTGAACCTGTACCAATCTTCCTTTGCAGCGACATTATATGTTGTGTGTGCTGTTAGAAGCTGGAGGCTGTACATCTAAAGCTACTGGGAATCCTGGTCCAGATTGTATCTATGTAGATCAGGTCAGAACAACTCTTCATCAGCTGGAAGGAGTAGACTCCCGCATAGAGGAAGGGCTAGCCTCATCTCCCGGGCCCTGCCTGTCTTGTGCTGACTGGTTCCTTGCTGCATCACATGAAAAGGCAGATAGTTTGACCACTTCACCTATCCTCAGTAGACTGCAGGGGTCCACCAAGACAGCGACCTCTCCAACATGCAGAAGAACCTTTTTCAGTGACCATCCCTTCAAGGCACGGAAGCCCAGTCCCTCCCGGGGTAGTGGAGATTATGAGCCTGGCGAAGGCGGAGAAGGTATTGGTCCTAGCCCACACACTACCCCAGCTGCAGTGCGGAAGCAAAGAGAATCCTGTGGTTCAGAGGACAGCATGGCCTTGCTTAAGGTGTGCATTCATCCAAGTGTCTGAATTGTGATCCATAACTGTTAGGATTTTAATTGGGAGGGTATTCCTTATTTGAAATGGTGAGTGGTTTAGTCATTGTTGGAAAACCGGAGACTTAGAACTGAAAAGAGAAAAAAAAACCAAGTGCCAACACATGAGTCCTTGACGTCTAGGACGTTCATGCCCAGTGCTTCCAGGTAGAGAAGCTTCAACCCCTGGTCCACATACATTGGTCTTGTTTCTGTGTTGATAGGAATGACAGATCATCCTAGCTGTGGGGCAGTTTCAGTGTCAATCTAAGTAGTCAGTAAAATAATTAACAGAAACAAATTACCAGAATGAAGAGGAGATGCCTATTTGTAATAGCTAGGTTTTTTTTGTTTTTTGTTTTTTTGGGTTTTTTGTTTGTTTGTTTTTTATGAGACAGGGTTTCTCTGTATTGTTTTGGAGGCTGTCGGTCCAGCCCGGCCTCGAACTCACAGAGAACCGCCTGCCTCTGCCTCCTGAGTTCTGGGATTAAAGGCGTGCGCCACCACTGCCCAGCATAGGTTTTTAATCTAGACTTACAAATGTCATGAACATTGTGACTGTGAGGCACAGAGGATGTTCATACTTCAGTGTATGATGTTTACTGGCTTTTCCCATACATATCATAAAGTACCCAGACAGTTGTTAGAGTCATCATTACCCATGGGAGCTTTGCACTTACTCTCCTGGGATGCTGAGCTCTCCCCAGACAGTTTTGAAACTTGCTATCAGGTGGATGGAGGTCCTGCCAGACACAGCTGAAGGAATCTTGGAACTGAAAGTGGACTGCATGTTTCTGAGTGGTGTGGCCTGTACAAGCACAGCACAGACGTTCTCTCTCCTGCACAGAAACAATGGGATGCATTGGAGCCATGGATAGAATGTGTTAGGAAGTGCTTGCACCCTTAGCTATAACCTGCTGTCTCTGTTGGTACAATTAGTAGGTAACAGAAACCAAGAGGATTTGGCTAAATTGCATATAGCAAAGCTCTAATCAGCTGCCAGGAGAAAGAGACATATCTGTGACCTTGAGGCATCCAGACAGCAGGAAGAGAGACAAATACAAATGCATATATGCATTTGGTAGTGGAACTAGTGGGGAGTTTTCATCATGGCCCTCTAACTTGATGTTAGAATTCCCCATACCAAAGAATAAGCCAAGAGATGCAGATTGGCATAAAAAATATTTAATGGAAGAATGCATCACAAAAATGACACCCTTCGAAGGTTTTAAATTTGTGAGTCATTTCTGCTATTTGATCCTATTCTTAGATACAAACTGACCTACTTATCTTCCAGCTCGCTAGAAAGAAATCAACGCTTCCAAATCCATTTCATTTGGGAAATTCGAAAAAAGAACTTTCAGACAAAGAATTGGAAGTCTATAACACGATGAAGTAAGAAACTCCTAGTATGCCTTTTCACTTAAACTCATTGTTGTTGAGGACCTTTTCAGTGAGAAAGTGCAGAGATATTCAACAAGCACAATTATGATATAGCTCAAAGATCTCAGGTACTATCCATGCTGTTTCTGTAATGTTTGTTTACACGTTTGGGGAAGTGAATATATTTGTATTCTAATGAAAACACCAAAAGAAGTATTTCAAAACATGAAAGTTGCTCTTTACCTGTCTCCCACAGGTAACGTACTTTTTGGATGTCTACCTTTTAAATTGGAGTTTAAAGGCTAACTTTAGACTCCAGTAGATGCCTGCTTATGCTTAACCCAGAGCCTGTAATAGCTGCTACTGCGTACAGCTCAGAGTGCTCACTTCTGGAGAACAAAGGGTTGACTATTTGCCTAAATTCAAGCCAACAGTGAAAGGCCATGCGCAGTTGCTGGTTCCAGGTGGTAGGCGGTGCCTCTGTAGCCACTGTGGCACAGTTCAGCTTCTCTGTCTGCCATATATACTCTGCTTCCATCACTCACCCCTCTGCTGCAGTTCCATAGAATGCATCCCCCTAACTTCTCCCTGTGGGTCTGCCTCTCAGAATCTGGGTCCTAGAAACTGGTCCTGAACAAATAGATAAAACTCAAACTTACATTGAATAAGGAATCCTGAAGTAAAAGGACCTGAATAAAGAAGGAATGCATAGTTGCCTTGTGAATTGCCACGAGCATACATCTTGCGAGATGAACTTATGTATGCTCGTGTGTGCAAGATGAACTTATGTATGCTCGTGTGTGCAAGATGAACTTATGTATGCTCGTGTGTGCAAGATGAACTTATGTATGCTCGTGTGTGGAAGCTAGAGGATAACCTGGCTGACTGTCATTCCTCAGGAGCTACCTAGCTTGTCTTTTGAAATGCAGTCTCTCACTGGCCTGGAGTTAAGCATGCTGGGCTGGCTTGCTAATGAGCCCCAGCGCTCCTCTGTCTCTGCCTTCCCACAGCTGACTTTCGCCATCATGCCTAGGTTTTTGCGTGGGTTCTGGGGTTCAAACCCTGGTCTCAATGCTTGCAAAGCAAGCAGTTTACTGACTGAGTAACTACAGCCTCATAAGCACTTCTTTTACATTTATTTTGTGGCTAGCTACCTGATCTGCCTGAATCTTTTTGCCTGATATTTAATGTTGATGTCATGTGTGGGAACAGCTAATAAAACAAAATTGTACTTAGCAAGAGAACATGTAGAAGCAAAATACACTTATGTGAGTTCTTTACCATCACCATCTCAATGATGGAAATATTTTCTAAGTGCAAGTGTGCAAATAGCAGTTGCCAGGAAATTCTTTTTTTCCTGAAGTTAGGGCAAAAGAAAGATAACTTATCTGATTAAAATAGTGCTCTGAAAATCTAATATGTTAATATTTAATACCTCCACACATGAGTGTTTAAGTTTTAATAGTTAAAATTTTTTAAACAAATAAATTTGAGTATAACCATCTATGGTAAGCTGAAACCCCTAGTCTTCCATTTATCAATGACTTCAAAGTTTAAGGTCATTTCATTACTGCCATACTTTTTAAATGCATACATTGTTTTGACGTTATATCTAGTAAAAACAAACCCTCAAGTTCAATAGCTTATGTAAATCCACATGTTTAAATCACAGGGTTTTTTATTTTCAAAGATTGGTAACTTATTACTGATGTGGAAAGTTCATTTTAAAAGCATGTTATTAGGCAAATTATATTACTCTAACTTGTATATACACACCACTGTAAATATATGATTTTTAATCTTTTATACCCAACATTTTATTCAATGTCAAAGTCACATCCACTCTGTATTCTACAATCCCAGACAACCCACCTCCTGATACCATTTTGAAGGAAGGTCCCTGTTTTCCATCCTGGCTTTATTGCTTTGGCATCCCAGAGAAGAAAAACTGGGATGCAGAGAGAGCAGACTGCAAAGTCACCAAGCCCTATTGGCTGTGCAGCTAGGTCAGGGTCATCCCAGTGCCAGACACGACTTCCCCGCGGTTAAGGGGAGCAGAATAACATTTACTGTCATGCATGATCATTATGAAAACTGAAATTACCATACTTTCAAGCACACACTGTGGCATATAGAAGGCATTCAAGGTAACTTATTATTTCTTGCTTTTTTGTTGTTCTTTTAAGTCTTCTTCCTTTGGGGAAACATAGACATCTCAACTAGGTTCTGCTGACCTGTCTGAGATTAAATATGAGAGGAAGAGATGGGAAAGAAAAGGAAAACTGAAAATAGTAACTGAATATTGTCGGAATGTGGTCTAAGAATAAGAGCCATAGGAGAATTGTGAGTGCTTGTGAGAAAACTCCATGAAACCAAGACATGAGTCTTGTAACCTCAGTTTCTTTAAAAACATGGCATTATTCTTGAACTGTACTTTCATTCCCCTCCCAGGTGTAACAGCTAGGAATTAGTTTACTTCAGATTATTCATTGCAGCTGGCTATTATAATTTGTTTACATTTGTCTATGGAGAAACATGTTTTTGCCATGTGTGGCTTGCTCGATACATGAGGCTGGTCTGTCATGTTTTGCTTAACCCTGTGATTGTACACTTTACTCGTGTGACTTCTATTAACCCTCAGAGAATAAATTGTCTGATGCTCTGAATAAAGTTGGCCATTGCACGAGACTTAAGTCAACCGTGTTTTTAGACTCCAGTCTCCCAGGTCCCACCACATCTAGAACAATAAATGGAATATAAGTGAGAAGGTTGTAGTAGTGTGGAGTACTATCAACTGTTGGCACGGTGATAAGGATGTGAATCTAACTTTGCAATTGCTAACCATTTCATATTGTTTCAGGATCATTTAGTGCTGCTGATTTCATGTGTTTAGTTTGGTTGGAGATAATATTGTATGTGCCCCTACACTAAACTGATACCATCTTTATGGCTTGTTGGAATTTAGGCCAAACATGAGCTCAGTTATTTTTACAAACCACGGAAAAAGAAGGCTCAGCCAATTGGTTGTTTAGTGAAGAGACAATTTAAGTTACTTGCAAATGATTTAATGTTTATCCTTCCGTGGCTGGTACTGTTTGTCTCCATTAGGGGATTAAGAATACCCTAACATGTGCTTTAGTTAAGGACAGGGAATTAAATGTTTCATTCAGCTTTCCATCCATAATTATACTGCTAATATTATTTCACATAGCCTTGTGAGAATGCTACAAAATTCAAAATGAAAAGTTCTTCTAACTTTACATCAATTTCCTTCTGTCTCCTTTTCAAGGTTGACCTCTGGTCCCGAGAATACACTTTTCCATTATGTCGCCTTAGAAACAGTGCAGGGCATCTTCATCACTCCCACCCATGAAGAGGTGGCTCAGCTAGGCGGTTCTGTCCATGCTCAGCTAATTAAGAATTTCCATCAGTGCTGTCTCTCTATCCGTGCAATTTTCCAACAGACACTGAAGGAAGAGGTAAATATTTAAATATAGTTTTCTGCCAATATCAACTCTATTTTCTTTAATCAGCATCACCAGCGGTGTTTTATTTAACTCAGTTATACTGAGCTCTGTGGTCTGGAATCTTACCTCTGGAAATGGCGGGCCTGGTTTTTCTATAGCAAAGTACAAAATGGTCGTTTATAATGTCAGCTAGCCACTCATATCTGATATTTTTGATTTAACCATTTGTTAATTGGTGGTAGTGTTTCAATCCAGGATAATGTCATTTCATGTTGCACCCTATTCTTAAGTAGTAGTATTATGTATAATAAAAAGATCAATCGGATTCTTGTGGTGATGGGAAAATCAGTATTGATCTCTCATTATGGAAGAATATTCAGAACTTCATGGCTAGGGCTGCAGCTTAATTGGCACAGTGCTTATCTAACATTCAAGAAGCCCTGGGGGCACATCTGTAATCCCAGCACCCCAGAGGTGGAGGCAGGAGGATGAGACATTCAGAAGTCATCTCCAGTCTCATAGTGAGTCTGAGGCTAGCCTAGGATATATTAAGACTCTGTCTCAAAATAAGAAGGGCTGGAAATGTGACTCAGCAGTTAGGAGCACTTACTGCCCTTGTAAGGTCCTGGGGTGTGGTTCCCAGACCACCTTAGACAGCTCACAACCACCTGTCACTCCAGCTCCAAGGGATCTGATACCCTCTGGCCTTTATCAGCCGCTGCACACAAGTGATGCATATAAACTCACATGGGTACAGATACACTCAAGAATAATAAATCTTTTAAAAACAAAGAAGGGAGGGGAGTGAGAGAGAGGAGGTTGTAACTGATCTAACATCTGCCCACCAGCAGCTCTCTGAAGATAATGGTGGTGTATGAAGCATACCAGTCTTGTGAAGACCTTGGGTTTAAAATGACATTGGACTGGGAGTAAGGAGCCCTGGCCTGAACCCTGACTCTTCCTGTTTCCTTAGCTATAAAGTGATCCAACTGGAGTATATCACTGCTCGGGGCCCATTCAGCAGTAGAATTCTGCCTCCCATACTTTCAGGTTCTCGCAAAGTGTTATTAACAGGAAGTGTCATGTTTGAGCAGGGAGGCCTCCCTGCTTTCATTTCTTGGGCTCTTCTTTCCTATATACTACTGGATGCTGTGGGTATGTCATCACCCTATTTGGTCATATGTAGTAACAGAAATTGGCATTAAATGTTAAGGCATCTACTCCGCACCAGACACTATTCTAGGTGCTAGGAAAGCAAACAAACTAAATCCTTTCCCTGAAGCCCAACTCCTAATGAAGGAGCTAAGTAAACTGACAAATAGTAAACCCAGTAGAGTGAGTGTCAAGAGGAATCTAATCTTAGTCAGGCTCAGTGGTGCAGGTTACTGTTTTACAAGTGCCCCCTGATCATGTCGAGCAGTTTTCAAACAGACTGGAATGAAGAGGGAAAAGGTTGTGTGGCTGTTGGGAAAGCACGGCTTCTAACAGGGAGACAGTTGGCCCCTTTGGGTACTCACTGGCATGGACCCAAATATACACACACACAAATCTTAAAAGAAAAAAATACACCAAATGTGATGACACCTGTCTGTAATCCAGCCACTCCCAAACAAGAGACAGTAAGCATGCCAGAAGTTGGAGGCGAGCTCCAGGCCAGCCAGGTCTATGTGGTGAGAACTTGTCTTAGAGGCGGGGTTAAGAGATGGGTGGGCGGAGAGAATAACATTTGCTCTCTGCTGGGGGATTCTTGTAATCTACCTTAGGAGATAATGTTTAAACCGAGAACTGACGAACAGAAAAATTCTGCAGGCTGACAGGAAGAATAGCATTGTAGACACTTAGAACCAGAATCAGCCATCATCATCATCTTCAGATATTATGTGAAACCATTTTATTTTTCTACTTTGGGGATGGAAGCCAGGGTTCTGTGCGTGCTAAGCAAGCCTTGTACCCATGACTTACATTCCCAGCTCCAAACATTTCAGACTAACACTTTCAGTGCTAGTTGATGTTCATAACTGCTGTTAATCTGCAGAAAAAGAAAGTACTTCATGGTGAAGATCATTCAGAGTCTGCAGATTCAGTGTCTTCCCTGACCCATGTGAAAGAACATGGTGTGCTGTTTGAATGTTCACCTGAAAACTGGACTGATCAGAAAAAAGCACCACCAGTTATGGCTTACTGGGTGGTGGGGTAAGTATGAGGGAAGTGTGTACATGTGAAATGAAAGGTTAGAAAGCAACAGAGGTAGCGGATACCTTTAAATATTGGCCTGGGAGCGTAACCAAGCTGAAATCTTTTAGCATACTTTAGAGTTTGATTTTTTACTTTTGGTGTTTGTTTTGTTTTTTTCCTCTAAATACCTCCCTGTGTCCTTCCAGTGGAGATAAGAGAGAATAATGAGGGAGGGGTTTGATTAAAGAAAAGAATGAATGACTGAATGGCTAAATCAGATTTTCAGAGATCTTCCCAAAACCACTAAGAGGACATTCCCACATTCACACACACACAGACACACACAGACACACAGACACACACACACACACACACACACACACATTTCCTTCCCTTCCCCCATTTTCCTTTTGTTTCTCCTTTCTTTCCTCCCCCCTTTTTTGTTTTTTTGTTTTTTGTTTTGTTTTGTTTGTTTGTTTTTCGAGACAGGCTTTCTCTGTGTAACAGTCCTGGCTGTCTGACCTCAAACTTACTGAGACCCGCATGCCTCTGCCTCCCAAGTGCTGGGATCAAAGGAGTGCGCCACCACCGCCCGGCTCCCTCTTGCTTTTTAGTCTTCATTTTTTTCCACACTCCTTCAAAACCTACCTGTCCGTGTCACTCCATCTGTCCACTGTGGACCAGCTTCATTGGCACAGGGCAGCTGTTTCTGCTTTCCCTGTAGGAGTTTTCCCCTATTACATCCATCAACACTGACTGGTTATCTTCTCAAGGAGGACCTCTGCAGAGCTCCCTTCCCTTCTGAAGTGGCACCTGGCATTTTCTGCACTGTATATGTATATGTATATGTATACACACACAATAGACTAGACCAATACTACAGGAATTTTGAAGAAAAGAATCTAAGCAAGGATTAAAAAGCAAGACACATTGGAAGTTGACTTGATCCTATTCAAAAAATGAATTGTCTTCAGAAGGAACGTAGGTTAAGGAAATGGGATGAATGAACAAATGTCTGCACAAAGGCAGTCATCAGGCATGGCAGTGAGAAGGTGGGCTGACAGGATGTTCATGGCTTTTTTTGTGTTCAACTCATTCTGTGTCTGTCTAGCTTCTTCCTACATCTCCTTGCTTCTTCCCAGCAACCTCTCTGCCCAGAAAATTCTGCCTGGATGTTGAACATTCAGCTTTTTACTAAACCAATCCTCATGACAAATCTTCACAGCATACAAAAAGATAATGCCAAAACCGTTGGGAGATAATTCGGTGGGTAAAACACTTGCCATACAAGCATGAAGATCAAGTTTAAATTCCCAAAATCTGTGTAAAGCCAGGCACAGTCAAACACATTTGTAATTCCAGTGCTGCTCTGGGGAGGTTGGAGGCAGACAGGAAAAGCCCAGAAAGCTTGAAGTTTGCAGCAGTAGTCAACGGAGTTCATTTCAAGTAAGGAGAAAGACTAGAGCCAGTGCTTACGCTGTCTGTTTACTTGTGCATAAATGCATCATGAGGTGCATGTATACGCGAGCACATATACAAATGTAGTGTTAATCCAAGTCTATCTGCAAATGAGTTGTCAATTTATGTTTAATAATAATAGCGGTTTAAAATGTAAGTGGAAATAAAATATTTCATGGCTACTGTGCTTAAAATGATTCAGGAAGTATTGCCTGGATGGTAATAATAAGCAGGTTGAATATTCAAGACTAAGGGATATGGTGATGTGTATTGATTAAATAATAATTCTCACACTCTAGGACAATACCATTAATTAGGACATACATTATTTATTATCTGTAGATTTAGATTCATGAGTTTGGTGGTGGTGGAGGATTGGTATTTTGGTTTTTGTCTTTTCAGCTTATTATTGGCTCTCCCAAAACGGAAAGAAAATGAAGGGAAAAGGTTTTATCGCCTTTAATTTCTGAAATTCCCATGTTTTTTTTCTTTCTGCAGGAGGCTCTTCCTTCACCCAAAACCTCAGGAACTGTATGTCTGTTTTCACGACTCGGTCACGGAAATTGCTGTTGAAATGGCGTTTAAACTGTTCTTTGGATTAACGTTGTAGCTGTGTTTGTAGGATTGAAGACAGCACACAAATGGACCATGGGGCAGTATCCGAATGGCTGGAATCAATGTATAGAGATAAGGCTCAGCTTCGCCATCGTTCAGTATTGAACTTATCTTTTTAAATATTGAGAGGCAATGCTCTTGGGTTGTATCAATTCATATGTAGTATTATAGAAGGCATCTGAGTAGACACTTGATCAAAATACAAAGGCAAGATTGCTAATTTATTGCCATTTTGGTATACCATGCTAATTTATTGAATAGTTTTAAATAATGTGATTTCTTTAATAAAAAATAATATAGATGTTTATTTGGGGATCATAGTCACCTCATTGTTTGTTTTTCCTAAAAGCCAATACTGACTTATACCTGGTGAAGGAACGAAATTGAAGAGATGACAAGGTTCTATAGTTGGTCAATTCTGTGTTGTGAGGGTTCCTGTACCTGTCAGGCCTCAGAACATCTGTATACTAATTATATTACTATTACATTGGGATTTTTGAAAGTTACAGTTAAGAAAAATACATTGTTTTCATTTTGTGTATTAGTATCTAAATTCGAAGTATCTGTGTTCTGGTTTCTTAGTAAATCAAAAGCCTGTGCGTTTGTTTAAGTATTTTAGTAGGTACCTCAGTGCAGAAGAAGAGGGGAAGGATGAAGTTTAAAGTTAATTTATATTTATTTAATTCTCTTTATTCTTTGTGCTGCTTTATTTTGGAATAAGAGAGATTTTTAATCATCCGTAAGCTTCCATTTCTTTTTTTTTCTTCTTGTTGAAGTACATTCTGGTACACATACATTTTATATCACTACTAACAAATCATATTAAAAACACTGGATGAGGGCTGGAGAGATGGCTCAGAGGTCATGAACAAGTACCTCACTGGAAGAGACCTGAGTTCAGCTCTTAGCACCCACATCACAATTAGAAAATAAAATCCTTTTTAAAACCCTGAAGAAAACAGGCTAACACTGACCTGGGGTAACTTCTTTTATAAAATACTAATGTTTGTCTTATAAATAAGCATCAGTCGTATTGGGTTTCCCAAAGCTAGAGGGTGCACTTTAAACAACGGCAGTCTACCTGAGCTTCAGTAGTAGAGAAGACTGACTAGACATTGATTTTCTTTGGTCATGAGAATTTAGTGTATTGAAGAAAAGAAAAATATAGCAAATGCTACATCTATTACTAACACTTACCCGGGTGGGCATCCCACAGGCTCAGTATTCCCCACACTTTACAGCTGTGGGTAGTTTCTCCTTCGAGGATTATGTATGTTAGAAGGTAAGCTATCTAAAATTAAGTTCATCCCTGCATTTTCCCTCCTTTAAATGTGAGTCCTCCAGCTTAAAACTTCAAAACTTCAGTGTTTCTTGAGCTATTTGGTCATATACAAAAAAAATTACCCCTCTGTTGTCAGTCTAAGAAAGTCTCATCAAGGCATTGGTGACAGACACCAGCTGTTTACATCACCAGCGACTTCTAAGGGACTTTAATTTCAGCTTTCAAGTCAGAGAAGGAAATTGTGGATCTTGAAATGTAAACAACAGTTTTAAATCCCCCCCTTAACAGCACTGAGTCAAATGAACCTAGACTGCCTGTATACCAATGTATGTGTTCTGGCCTTTCTAAAAATGTACCTATTAAATGTCTTCAATTTCTGGATACACCCTCAAATCCCAAGCTGTTTCTAATACTGGTCATTATGGTCAACGTAGCTGTTGACCACCTCAGGTTTTCAAACAGAACAAACTAGGTATTTTAATGCAGGGAACTTTTTTTCCCACTTAAAATTTGATCTGTTGCTGCTTTCTTTGTGTCAGCCATGAGAACACTATTCCAAAAAGTAGTGTAAAATGCAAAGCAAATGACAGATCTTAAAGATGAACCATTTGCTGTGTGGTCTATGAGATTTATATTTTGGATATTTTTAAAATAGTAAGTGCTATTAAAACTTGAACCTACACACCAAACCATATGAACTAATTTAATTTTAAAGAGTTTTATTTCTATATAATGTCCATGTTGAAGAGGCATTGCATTTTCAAAGAATAAAATACTATCTTATTTTTCATTTCCAGGTGAATATTGAAGGTAAACTTAGCTGACCATTTCTCTGAATAGTTCAGACACATCTGAAACTCAGTCTGATTGTTGGACTGTGAGTACTGTCTGTTTCCTTTACAGGGAGGGGATAAATTGACAGGTGCAGATCCTGTAGCGATGGGCTTTCAGAGAAACCTTCTTGAGTTAGGTTTTATCCGCATCCTAATAATGTTCCAAAGAATATTAAATACAGTGTCTGCCTACCATTCTTAGAAAAGCAGACACAGCCAGGCATGGTGGCACATGCTTGTAATCCCAGTATTCAGGAGGCTGAGGCAGGGGGATATAATAAATTATATTATACAGGCAGGGCTGTATAACAGGGCTATTTGAGGACAGGCTGGGCTCTTTTAAACAAAAAAACAAGTACTTTCTCACTGCTATCACATTTCTTGGCCCCAAAGACATTTTAGACTCTTGCCTTTTCTTTTCCTCTTCTCTCTCTTCTCCCTTTCCTTAGTTTTCTTTTGTGTCTGTCATGTCAGAGAGCTGTACCTAACAGAGTACACAGTGTTTCGCTTTCTGTGCCAAGGGACTATGGATAACAATGCATGCCTAACAAACTGGTAATTGTGAAATAATCAATTTTTAAATATTTCTGACACAATTTTTAAAAAACTGTGAAACCAGTCTACTAGGTTTTTTTGCTTTAACAATTATTTGTTTCTGTGTGTTCTCGAAATCATGATTGTCACATATTATAAGGTATGAAATGTGAGCTTTGGCTACTGTTTATCAATATTGAATGACCTCTGCTTGTGAACCAAAGGAACAGCTGAGTCATGCCTATTACTGTACAACATGACAGGAATGACTGGAGAAAATTACTCCTCACTCTTGTTTTGAGATTTATATTTTGGATATTTCTAAAATAGTAAGTGCTATTAAAACTTGAACCTACACACCAAACCATATGAACTAATTTAATTTTAAAGAGTTTTATTTCTGTATATAATTAAAACTATTTTTCTATATTCAGAGTTTTAAATAAAAGTGTTTTGGAGGTTTGTTTGCAGTATCAATTGCCTTTAAAATTATTACATTTTATGCAGGTGTGTGTGTGTGTGTGTGCATGCATGTGTTCATGTGCTCACATACCAGCACCATGGCAGAGTTTACTGTCTCTTTCTACTCTATGGGTCCTAGGGATGGAACTTCGTGATTGGCAGTGGCTACCTTAACCTAATGAGCCATAGTGCTATCTTTGTGTTACCTTTACATACGATTACCCAGCAAATGTTGCCTGAACTTCTACCCACTGCTAAACACTGCAGGCCCAGCAGTGAAGAAAATAGCTAAGGCTTCCTGCCCTCAGAGTTTGTGTTCCCATGGCAGGGGGAGACCACAAATGTGATAAAATATTCTGCTGAATGCTAGGAGAAGCAGCAGGGAAGTAAAAAAGTGTGGTGTGAAGTCGCAAACAGGGCAGCCTGGGAAGGAATTGCTGAAGTGACTGACATCAGCCCAAAGTGAGAAAATGTAACCACCGCGGCTTCCTCAGGAGGGAGGAGTGAAGAGCACAGAGGTCCTTCTCCCAAGTACTTCTATAGCTGTGTAAACTACTAATGCTTTCCTTCCTTGATCCGCAGGTTGTCACAAAGCCAGTCAGTCAGTTTTAGGTCTAGACTGACAGCTTGACTAAGTGCCCTCGGTGTCAAAAACTAATGTTTCTAAGTAAGTGCTTTCTTGTTGGTCTCGTATCACTAAATGCAGATAAGTGGATGCAGGTGATAACATAGAATGAATACGCAGTAATATGGTCAGTCAGCTGTCAAGTCAAACAAGCATGGAGGATGAGACAGTGGAAATGGCCCTGAAGGCGGAAGACTTATTTTTCTGTCTTCAGAGATACCATGTCCCCTAGCACCAGAGATAGATCCACCCTTAAAAATACAGGCTGACCTGGAGAGTAATTGAAGTCCTACCTCCCTTAAACTCTTGCAAGCTTTCTTGTTGATTACTTAAAGGAGACAAGCATTTCACAGCAGCGCTTGACACATAAAAGGCTGCTCATTTCTGGAATTTGCAGCAGGCTTCACACAGGGTTTTGAAATCGATGTGATAAGAAGACTAACTTTAAAAAATCTGAGTGACGATTAAAGTGGTTGCTTCAGGGAGATTACTCTAGACACAGGGTGTTAAATAGAAGGACAGATTGAAAACACAGGCGAGTCACTGGAAAGGAAGCAGTTGCAAATATATGGAACCCGGAGACCTTGCCAGCTAACATCATTAGCAGTAATCAAAATATTAACAAGATTCTTGGTCTGTGATCCTGGGCTAAATGCCTGCACAAAAAATTAGAAAGGTAATAGCATGCTTAAGATACCAATGAAAAATTAGACCTTGTGTTCAATCTCATCAAGGTTCAGGGTAGGTCAGACCACGTAAAACGTAAGACGGGCTCTTAACTGAAAAATGTCAAACATGCTTTAAGAAACAATTATGGATATGTATATGCTGCCATAGTGGGATCTGGTATATTTGATGAAAAAAAAAAAACCATAGAAGAAAAGAATGATTCTGCACAGGGTAATTCTTACCAAAGCAGCTTGAATGTGCTGCCAGCTTCTGATGAATTCTCTATTGTGGTGACAGGGCAGGTTTGTTGCACTGAGACCCTTTCAGGGACACCATGAGGTTAAAACTACTTTCTTAATGGTGCTCAGACTTGAGTTGCTTTTTTCATTTTCATTCTCCTATGATACAATAAAATGAATTTTCTAGGGGTAACGTGTAATATCGCCCAAAACCAAAGCAATAATGTTTAGTCCAACTGTCTTTTGTCAAGTATTAAATTTTCAAATAGTATATAACAATACTATTATATATGTATGAAATTTTGGAGAATGTAATTTTAGGCTTCCTCCCTGGTGGCTCGCTTCCATAGTGCAGGAAGATGCTATGTAGGCTGCTTGGGGAGAAAGACCAGGAACATTCTCACCCAGCTGTTAACCTCGTGAATTAAAATGCCAACCTGCTGGGTCAACTGTCCTGTCAAGCCTCTCTATGCTTCACTGACTTCTAGGGAACACGTGTGCACATGCACACACACACACACACACACACACACACACACACACAGAAGCATGAATACTTCACTGCCTGAGCCAGTGCCTCGGTTTCTCAGGACCTGAAAGGCACAGAGTGCCCCGGGAGCCGTGGACTCTAACCTGAAAAACATTTGATATATGTTTTTCTCAAGGCAGCTAGACCACGCCAACTCCACAATTCCATGCAAATAACTAGGATGAAAATGACTAAAACTCAGTAAATATATGAAATTGTCAAGAAACAAATTTTTAAAAATTAAAAAATGTACTTTTAGCTATGCACAGTGACTCACACTTGAGGCTAAAATGGGCATTTTGGTGTAAATTGGAGACTAGCCAGGGCTGGAGTGACATCCTGACTCACAAATAATTCAAGGGCCATGGTGGTGCACACTTTTAGTCTCAGCATTTGGAAGGCAGAGGCAGGTGGATCTCTGTGAGTTTGAGGCCAGCCTGATCTTCAGAGCAAGTTCCAGGATAGCCAAGGCTAGACAAAGAAATCTTGTCTTGAAAACCAAAATAATAATAATAATAACAACAAATAATTCAAAATTTATTGATATAATCTGCAATAGACTTCTCATTATTTTAAATTATAAATTAAGTATACATTTTAAAGATCGTTAATTTGGTACTTATCACTATATTTAACAACAATAGCAACAAAAGGTTTCTGTAGACTTTCAAGTTTTAAGAGAAAGGTTCTATGGATGAAAAAATAGTTTACGAATTGTTCTTTTAGAAAGTCATTGGTTCTTAAACTTGCAAAGTAGAATTCCCCAAAAGGAGCCCCAGGCATGGCGGTGCATGCCTTTTTAACCCAGCACTCTGAAAATAGAGGCAGGCAGATCTCTCTGAGTTTGAGGCCAACCTGGTCTACATGCTAGTTCTGGGACGGCCGGGGCTACAAAGAGAAACCTGATTTTCCATAACACCTGGTTTAATGATTAGGGCCTAACTTAATACATCAGTTTAAAAAAGCCAACAGCATAGCATGCCACTGTTTATCTACCTTGAATGTTCGGTCTCTATCAAGAACACCATTCAATAGAAATTAAAGTTTAAATATGTCAGAGGAACACGTTGACTTCTGAGGAGGAAACAGCAAATCCGATGTCCAGGGTGACTGGACAAATGGTCCCCACTAAAGCAGATTGCAACATCTGCTTAAGGCAGGGACTCACGTAGCCCAGGCTGGCCTTGAATTTGCTATGTAGCCAAGGGTGCCTGCACCTGCTGATGAGACACACATGCAGCACCTGGCTGGAGCGTGGCTCCCGAGACCTGGGAGGGAAGCTAACTGCAAACGGGAGCAGATGCCCTCAATCGTAAGGCACGAGAAGGCTGAAGGAGCTTCCTCCCGGCAGAATCACTCAGCGCATGCTCCTACTCCTCCCACAACAGTAGCGGCGCACTGTGCACGCGCACTTGGAAACCGCGCACTTGGAAACACGTGTTGGGGTCACGTGCGCCACGCCTGGCAGCAAGGCCGTTGGGCGCGCCTGCGCAGCTCTTCATGCCCGTGCCGGATGCGCTGTTCTCCCAGCATCCTTAGCGCCTGTTTCCCGCCAGGATAAAGCTGAAGCGGTTTTCCGGTCCTCATCGGTGTCGACAGGGTGTTGGTGTGGCGCTGCGGCCGTCGGTTGTCCGTCCTCTGTCCAGCATGTCAAGCAGCTCCTCCAAGAAGCAGCCTTCGAAGAAGGGGCTGTTCGACCCCATGTCCTTCGCGAAGGACCTGCTGGCCGGCGGGGTCGCGGCCGCCGTGTCGAAGACAGCCGTGGCACCCATCGAGCGAGTGAAGCTGCTGCTGCAGGTGCAGGCGTCCTCCAAGCAGATCAGCCCCGAGGCGCGCTACAAGGGCATTGTGGACTGCCTGGTGCGCATTCCCCGGGAGCAGGGTGCGTAAGTACGGTGCCACGCTCGGCCTCCGCGCCCCAGACCCGGGTCGCCCACAGGAGGAGTCACCCCTAGGGAAGGGTGGCCCAGAGGAAAGGGGGCCACCTGGAGACCGGAGAAGATGACCAGAGAAGGGGCTATCTAGAGGGAGAGTGACACAGCAGAAAGGGGTTATCTAGAAAAGGACGTCATTTAAGGGGCAGGGTGACCCCAGAGGGACAATCCAGAGCAAATAAGGAGACTATCTGCTAGACAGGGGTCATCCAGAGACAGAGTAACCCAGGGGAAAGAGACCATCCAAAGAAGGGGTCACTCAAAGGGTGGGGTAACACGAGGAGGGGTGGTGCGGAGGAGTTGGGTTATTTGGTGGAAAGGGGTGTGTCTTCCAGAAAAGGGGTGACCCAGGGGAAAGAGTGATTCGGAAGAACGGGGAGGGTCGGTCAGAAAGGGCTGTGTAGGGAGGTAGAGATAGCTGCCAGCTACAGCCTAGCACACGTTTCTTTTTGTTTCTTGGTTCGTGGTGGTGGTGGTGCTTTGGTGATTGTGCAGAGGCACTGGTTTTTTTGGGGGGGGGTTGTTTGTTTTGTTGTTGTTGTTGTTTTAGACAAGGTCTATGTAGCCCTTGCTAGCCTTGAATTTTCAATGTAGACCAGGCTGGCATAGAACTTGTGTTGATCTTACTGCCAGTTTTTGAGAGTCCTGAGATTACAGATATTTCTTAACCTGCCAGAATTTAGTGCGCTGGCCCATCTAACAGGCATTCCCAATGCCAAGAAAGCCTTAAATGTATCCTGTTTGCAGGTGAGACCGTAGCCTGCCCTTTCCATCAGTATTTGTACTTTGAGTACACTTGTGCCTGTCCCAGAAAAAAATGGAGTGTGTGACTTCCCAGGGTGAAAGATGCTTTATGTTGATTAGTATTCGAGTGGCTTAGATGTTTCTTGAAGTAGTAAGCTTCTGAGAAGTACAAATATGGATGCATTGTAGCCTCTGAGCATTCTGCTGCTTAATTGGCAAAAAGCTCTGCTTATTTTGGAGAACAACTGAAGACCAGTTCTT